TCACACTCACACACACACACACACACACACACACACACACAACAGGATAAGTCAAGTGTGTCTCTGCAGCTGACTGGGTGTCTATGAGCAGGCTTGAATGGGGGTGAGGGGGGGGGGGGGGGGGTACTTGAAGGTAAATCAGGCACTTTGGGGGTAAACATTTTGTTTCCAAACCGACCCGGATCCTCAGAGGAGACATTTATCGATACAAAAATGCCAATTCCTTCTTTCCTGATGCCTTTATTACCCAGAATGCAGCTGGACTGAACCTTCAGGTTTTATTACTTTTCCAACATATGAGTTAAGATTTTCATATTTTCCAACCAATCGTCGGTTTTTGCCTCCGACTTTTCCCCAACAGGCGGCTCGACCTTTAGAACAGAAAAATTCAGGTCACATGTTAAGTTCTCTTCACCCAGGGCGTTTGTTTACCTCTTGTCTCCATCCCCTTACGACTTAGACACACACACACACACGCACACACACACCCTGTGGCAGTTTGCTTTTGTATGGAAACACAGCTAACCCTGCTGCCCTCAGAGTGTTCCTGCTAAACCAACCCAGCCGTCAGTGTGTCGTCCTCCCGCAGTCCAAACGCCACCTATTGCTAATTGGAGCGATGTATGTGCGCGCACACACACACACACACACACACACACACACACACACACACACACACACAGCTGCTTCCATTCATGTTTCTGTTTTGGGACGCACTAAAATACGAGCTGTGCCGTTTGTTCTCCCACTTTGCTGCAACACAATCCAGCAGTTAATCAAGCCGACAGAGAGCGACGTCAACGCGGGAAATAATTTGCATGTTGAGACATGAACAACTAAGAAGCAGAAGTTGCAAATTTGAATGCACAATTTTTTTTGTTTTTATTGAAATTTAATCTGGCTTTTGGAGCAAGAATAATAAAAGATGAATTGTACAATAACAATTAGCTCAGCATTCCCCATTAAAAGAGAAAATGATTGACTCTGCATTAAAATAATTATTTAATTAGATGGGGTTGTTTTAGTTGCATCATTTTAATTTGTAACATTAACTTTCAGATAATCCGCCGGAGTCAATGTTCATACATATCAAAACTGTTTAGAATGCGCACACACACACACACACACACTATGCATTGTTAATGGCGGTGAAGCACTCTGTGTTTGACTGTGGGTGAACGAGGCGGCGACACGTCAAACAGCATCAGCATCAAACTCAACCGAGTCCAACTCCAGCTCAACGTCGCCGCCCTGCTGCTGAGGGAGGAACACCGCACCACCATCATCATCATCACCACCACCAACACCGTCCATCATCATCACCACCACCACCACCACCACCAACACCGTCCATCATCATCAACACAACAAGTGCTTCTGGAGGACCAACATGTTTCTGGTGTGGTGAGAAACGATGTGAAAACGATAAGGAAGCTCAGATGAGAGTTTATAAATGTTGATAAAAGAACATTCAAATTGTACTTGAACAAATCGACTTAGTTGCTTTTAACCTCTCGGAGGCTCAAACGTGAACGATCGTCTGTCTTTATGTTTTACGTCCAGCATGTCGAGGAGCACAAATAAACCAATGAGAATACAGAGAGAGGAATGAGGGAGAGTGTGTCTGATCTTGATAGAACACACACTGCATCTCCATGATTACAACTCTGACTCGATAAGTGTTTCCCTTTGAACTCGGCGGATTATGTCGTTGACTTTAATGTTCTCGCAGGACTCAGAGAGTGTGTGTGTGTGTGTGTGTGTGTGTGTGTTGGATTAGTCTCTATTTGAAGTGTGAGGTCTGATCTAATCTGCAGGTCGCTGTAAACAGACGCAGTGATCCAGCCGGTCTGAACACAATGTTCTCTGCCAACGAGTCCCCCCCCCCCCCCTCACACACACACACTGAGCTATCGCAGTGATGTCATTCTGGTTACCACAGCGGAGCCATGTGATAGTGATGTCACAGGCCACGCCCCATCGGTTTTCTGCCCCAATTAGCACAGACATGGTTGGCCAAACTGTGGCCTCGCCGACCCCTGCAGCAGCAGCAGCAGCACACAGCGTTTGTTATCATAATCCAGTGCTTTTGGTTGTGTGTGCTTTCTGTGTCTGCGTGTCTGCTCGCGGCTCATCTAAAGAACCGCCGGAGCGTCGGCCCGATGCGCTTTGTGCTCGCTCACGGCCCGCGTGTTTCACGGACCGCTCGTGGTTCCAGCGGGAGTCACGATGCAATTGTTTTTGTTGTTGAAGAAAACATATTTTCATACAAAATCACTGAGCGCCGTCTCCTCACTGCTCATAAGCAGAGTGACCCAACGAGTGAACCTCTGGGTCTGTTCGGCCTCACATCCTGCACAACCTGTTGGGGCCTCGGCCTCAAGGTCAACACGCAAAGCCCAAATAAAAGCCTCGAGGCAGAGCTCTACAATGACCGTAGGTCTGGTCTCTGAGACCTAAAAGCTGGAGAACATGGCTGACGTGTGCGCGGGGACGGTGACAATTGCATTCAAACCCAAACCCACATGTATGTCGGTGCATTTTTAAGGCCTGTTGTGCCTCAGTGATTCCCAGAAGCAGCGCAAACCTTCTTCTTGTACAACTGTAAGAAAAACACAAGCCCTACTCTACGTGCTCTATTCCATCTGCAAATACTCAGCAGAGGAACATATCTGATCGTTGTTAATACGATTGTGACACAACAAGCAGCTAAACCGTTTCCAGTGATGCAATAAGGAGCAAATCAATCATTTTAAATACGATCATAGTACCGCGCTTAATGGTAAATAGTTACGATGAGAGATTTCCTACAAAGATCCCTGCTTGACTTTGTTGAGTGTTGTGAGAGGTCTGTTTCATCAACCTGTTGCTGCATCCAGATTGGATGCTAATGAGCTGATTAAATGGGATAAAAGGGGGATTTGTGATTTTAAAGCTGTGAACAGTTCCATCAGGCGCAGAACAGCGGACCTTTGGACCTTTGAAGAGCCCCGCGGGTCCTCAGAAGAAGCAGCGAGCTGCTCGCCAGCCGGGCCTCATGTGTTGTTTTGAGGCGGCTGACAGGTCGAGTCAAAACAGATAAGAGCGAGGGAAGGAAGACGAGGAGGAGGAGGAGGAAGAGGAGGAGGCCAACTGATGCTTCTTGAAAAAGCCGCTGAGGACACAGCAGCATCCAGGACCTGCTGCATCTTTTAATCCCTTTCAGATTTGTCATTTTCACGCCGTTCTAATCTTTGCACACGCGTTCTTATGAGCTGCTGGAAGGAGCCGGAATCACCAACAGCTGCTCCTGTGATCGATGAGCACACGAAAGGACTGAGGCTGGCTGATAAAGCCAAAAAGGTTTCAGGGAAACAAAACAAAAACACAAACATGCAAATACAAAATGTATTGTTTGGCCCCAAAGAAAACCACACGTACACACACACACACACACACACCAGCGGCCGACCTCAGCGAGGTGAAGCGGCTTCGTGGGACTGACCCAGAAAGCCGAGACGTGGCGCGGATCTCACTCGTTTTCAGGGATTTCCAGCACAGATTACAAAGGCTCTTCCCCATTTGTTTTGTAACAAGCACGTGGAGTCAACACTAATACCGACGCCGCGGCTCTGAACTTCAAAATGCAGGGGGACCTTTCAAGAGGCTTAAGGCCGGCGAGCACAGTGAGCGCTAAGCTCTCAGGGCAAAGTAGTTCTTTGATTGTTTGTTCAAAATCTCTTCCAAAAGCCACAGAGCACAAACACAGGACAGATTATCCTCTTTTGTGGAGGAAATGAAATTCTTCAGACGAGGCACTTAAACGGGTTCCAGGATGAATGATGGGAAGCTGCTGTGTGTGTGCGTTGGGGGATATATGAGCGATACACACTTGGTATTATTCAGTCAAAGATTGATTCAAAAAGTATTTATCGACATTTAATGAGTCGAAGGCTCAAAGATAGAAGGGTGGCCACATTGTATCAGATGATGCTGCTCTGTGCCACAAACAAACAACATGAAAGTGATGCTCTCTAATGTTGCCAAGATGCATTTGTGATAAACGAGATGTTTTCATGAAGGCGTCACTTTCTCTCATCGGGGAGGAAAGTTTACAGCCTAACCTCGTCAGGTTGTAAACAAACGCAGTGATCAATGAGTACTGGGCCGGAAAGCCAAGCGGGGGCGCTCGACCCCGTTAAGAGCTTCAGTCACGGGGTCGGGGCTCCTTTGGCCTCCTAACACGTCTAACGAAGCCGTCCCCCCCCCTTCTCACTCCCCCCACAGCGCCGCCCATCGGATGGTTCTCTGGGCTGATGAGGCCAACGGACCGCGAGGGCCAGAAGACCAACACAATCGCAGGGAACAAAATAATGACCTGACACTGTAAAGTTGCTAAAATCATGTCATGCATTGTTGACCAAGGGGGGTGGGGAAAGGGGGGGTGGGGGTCGGCAGCGTGTGGCTGGAATAAAGAACGTCGTCGGGTTCATGACGTGTCGCAGTGAGCTCAACGGGACGAGGCCTTCCTGTCTGACGCATGTCAAACATCTGCGGTTTATTTTCAGATTTTGGAAATAATCCACCTTGTTTGTACTGAACCCGAGTGGACGTTCTTACCTGCTTATGAGCCGTTTCCCCGGAGATTCATCTTCACAAGTGATGCTCCGGGGGCGGAAGGTCAAGTGAGAAGAGGTTTCCCATGATGCTTTGAGAGAGCAAGATGCTGCAGCAGCAGAGAGACTCATCACACACACAGCAGAGGACAGCAGGTCGAGGGCGACTGAAGCAATCTGTCCCCATAGTGGACGGATCGTCCTGAATATCTCCCTCTTTCTAATTCTGACTTCATTCATCAGTGAGTTATCTGCTCAGTAAAGACTCCCTGAAGGTCTGTGACATCACTGCCGGCACTTTTACCACAAGTTGCTCTTTGAATGAACAGTTCCAAAGTGACAGAACGGGTAACGACTCAGACAATGTGTTTTTATCGACTCACTAAAATTGACGTGGATCAGGAATGACTTCATCACTTTTAGATTTTACTTTGGTTCTCAGTAAACAAAACACAACATACACATCCTGAACTGCGACTGTGACAAAAGACCCAGAAAGCTGTGTGCCGTCAGAAAATGGATACATTCAATGACCGGTTTTGACACCCAGCTGAATTCATAGTGAAAAAAAATCTCTGAATTAACTGAATTAAACCGTTTGAAGCTATCGCAGTCACATGACATGGTGCTCATGAACAGGCTGCATGTTTAATGACAAAATATAAGAGATTCACTGTAATTAAACTTTTCTTCACATTCCTCAAAATCCAACATGAGGAGATACAAAGATTAAATTTATCTGGAGGAATAATACAAAACAAAAGACTCGTCTGCAGAGCTGCTCCAGGAAAACATGGGAATATTTAAAAAGGAAAAGCATCCAGTTAGTAGATAAATACTCTGGAGAATAGTTGGAGAAAAGTCACTTAAACAAAAAACATATTTGCAACAATTTTCAGATCGGGAATAATTGCATGCACAAAAAATGGAATAAAAGAAAAATAGTTTGTTTAGGAATGTTGGCCGTACGGTTTAGGAAGCTGTGACACGTTATAGAACAAATAATTAAATAATGTAATTCATCTTTTATACAAAATAGATTCCGCCGATGACATAAACGAGCCCTGAACGCGCCGCGACGAGCAGGATCCCGACGGTTCTGATGCCTCCTCAGCAGCTCTGCAGTTCACAGCAGAAGAAACGAAATGTGGTTTTATAGCAAAAACAAACAAAGCAGCCGAGTCGCACGACCTGAAAACCCAACATTTCATATTTGGATGCTGGTCGAGTGGCCGTTGCAGCACTCAGAACACTCGGGTCACTTTAAGGCAACACTTGCACTCAACACCACCAGAGCTTCAGGAGATTAACTTTCACACGAGGAGTTTCTGCCTTCCTCATCACATTCCGCCGATGAGGAAGGCAGCCACCGATTTTGTCGAGCTATTCTTTTATCCCCTCTGATTTAAATTGCTTCAACATAAAAGCTCTTAAAAGGACTAGCCAATCATCTCTGACCTTTGACCTACTGGCTGGGAGGTTTCTGCCTTCACGTTGGATTATAATGTCCTTTAAATGGCTGCAATTTAAAAATGTAAAACCGGATTTCTGTTTTGACTCAGCACCTTATTACCAGAGATGATGTTAGATGATGTCACCAAAGCGTGAAGAAAGCAGCTGAGGAGGCTTCCTGATAAAAAAACAAAAAAAGACAACGGACTCAATCATATCGAATCCGACCACACTCATCCATTTGGTCCCCAAAATAAATACCGCAACAGGGCCGCCCCCCCTCTCCTAATGTCAGGGGAGGCTCACAAGAAACCCTCTCGTTGTCCCACTGGGACTAAATGCTGCAGCGTCTCAGGTGGACAAAACTTCGCCTTCCCGTCGATGAAAGCGTCCCAACGGGAGCGCCGGCACATTCAGGGTCGGTATTGTCTGTACTGCGCCTGTGGAACCAGAGGGTTGCTGGTTCCAAACCGGAGTGGCGGCGCCGGCCCTGCATAGGCAGTCCTGTAGCTCTGAGGGGACGGCCCCCCACCGGCGCCCAGTCCAAAGCCCGCCCCCAGAGCCTGCGGCCCGAGTCCCAGCCCACCGGCGGGCCGCGCCATACCCTGACTCAGCATCCCCGCGTAGGGGGACGCTCCGTAGGGGAGTCCCGGGCCCCCCCCGTAGGGCCTGTGGGAGTGCTGTCCCGGGGCGGGGAGGACCACCGGCTGCGCGTTCCTCCCCGGAGTGTTGAAGGCGAACTCTGGAGGGGGGCTGCTGGGTTTGGAGGGGCGTGGAGGTCAGCGGGTCCATCTCCCCACCGGGGGGTGAGCAGCGGAGGAGGCCCGGAGGAGGAGGAGGAGAGTGCCGGCGTATCCCTCGGGAACCTGATTGGGGAGCAGAGGAGGAGGAGGACATGGTTCCCGGTGACGAGGGTCTGGGTCCAGTCGTCTTTAAAGATCTGGACGGTCAGCGTGGAGACGAGCGGCAGCAGCCGGTTGGTGACGTGAGCCAGAACCAGCTGCTCGTTGGCGTCGCGGCGGATACGAACGTGGGCGGAGCCGGCCTGAGAAAGATGAAGGATGAGGGGGGGAGAAAGGAAGATGTCATCTTTTTTTTCCAATGTTGGATGCCTAAGTTATCGCCTCCTTATCGACAAATTATCACGGGCACACAAAATAAAAGTAGGATTTTTGTGTGAGCTTTGATGATGGAACAAATATCCATAATATAATTTGAAATTAATTAATTATGTATCGTTAACAAGCAATATTTTATCTCAAATAATTAATCTGAAAAAATGTGCATCATGTTTTACAAATCTTTTTTTTTAAACACAGCTGGATACATAATCATCCCGATTCATCACACCACATACAGCCTCCAACATCTACATCTGAACTAATTTCCTTATTTTGTCTTTGCCTGCTCATTTCAACATTCTGACGCGAATATAAAGACCTCAAATCAAGAGAACACACACACACACACACACACACACACACACAGAAAGGGGGAAAGCGGGAGGGAGGGAGAGAGGGAGAGAGAGAGAGAGGGAGGGAGGGAGAGAGTCCCCCGTGGGGCAGAAGTGCAGTCAGAGGGTCAAATCAGTTTGGACAGATGCTCTGTTAGCAGTGGGCCAACAACCAACAGTTGTGTAACTGCAGCAACATCAACATCAGTCACAACAACAACAACGGCAGCAGTGGCATCGATAACACAAACAACAGTAAACGCAGCATCAGGCCCGATGTAAACAGAGGACGCTGCTCCACCTGCAGGAGGTACAACTACTACACACACACACACACACACACACAGGGACTTTAAGTCAGTCCACATACAATTTTTGATAAAACCATATTGAGCTGTGACATCAGTCGTCCTTTCAGTAGAACCTGAATAATAAATCAGGATTTTGTTGCATTTCTTCCGCTCAGGATCTGCTACTGTAAAGTTTGATCTGGTAAGATCTAAAAATCTGCATTCCTGGAACAGAGTGTGCTCCTGCAACAAGACAGACGGATGTTGGTGTGTGTGTGTGTGTGTGTGTGTGTGTGTTCCCAAGGACCTCGGTTGCCCAGAAAGCCAGCTGGGCTTGTTATCTGTCGCTACAACAACGTGCAACACAGACGACGACAACTCGACAGAGACAACAACAACAAAGAGAGAGAGAGAATCTTCCGCATGAATGACTCGTTCTTTCCTTTCATCTGGGTGAACAAATCCCTGCTGATCGTCATTTGGAAACGAGGAATGACGGAGAGGGACGAACGAGGGGGGAAAGGGGGAGTTCAAAAATCTAGAAAGAAATACAAAGATGAACAAAACAAATGAACTAACGGGAGAGCGGAAGAAGAAATGAGGCGAGAAGATGGAGAGAGAAAGACGACGGAGCCTCAAAGCATCAGGTGGACTTTGCGCTTTGGTTGGTAAATCTCTGCCTGTACATGTAAAATAATAACTCGGCACATGCGTTATTGAATCACCTAAAAACCTTCATAACTTCCTTGTAGGAGGCGTTTTCTTGAATAAAGTTCATCACGCTGCCGCAACGTAAGGGAGTAATAACAGGTCAGTTTAACTGTTTCTGCTTCTGCTGTTTGGACTTCACACTCAATGCTCTGATCTCCATCACTGCCAGTTAGATTTTAATTCATTCATGGTTTCAGTCAATTAGAAAGAAAGACGGTTTTAACGGACAGCTAAATGTCCAACAGGAAACGGTAGCTTCATTCATACGTCTTTAGTTCTTTGGACGAGAGACGTACCAGAGAGCCGAAGCCGACGGTCCAGAAGTGCTCGTTTCGAACCTCCAGCACTCCTTCCAGAGTCGACACCTGATGGGACACCGGGAGGAGCGATTAACCGATGATCATCAATAGGTCGAGCCCTTCACATGCCATCAAAAGAGGCTTTCATCAGAGTAGCAGCTGCTTACTGGCTTTCATGTCACCATCTATCAGAAATGGAGCCTACAGGCTGAAAATGTGATCACGTGACCAAAAGACGTCTTCGGGCGAAAGGCAGTAAAATGATCTCGTCAGGAATCTGGAATCAATCCTCTCACCTCTCGGAGCAGTTTGTCCAGCTGGCCGATGACGTGCGACGGCGTCGTCTGCGGGGGGGGAGAGAGGGAGGACACGATGGGACTCGTCTGTGAGGCGGGGACGTGAGCGTGAGGGGGGACGACGGGGGGGGACTCACCTGCAGCAGCACTTTGCCGCTGTAGACGCTCATGGGATACATGGTGCCAAAGGTCATGAGAGCGATGGCGACCGCCGACGCCGTGTCCACCGCGTTGTAGTCACTGGGCGGGCGCACACACGCACACAGACACGCACACGATGAGAAAAAATATGACATCATTTTTAACGTCCTACACAACCTTTGGGTCTTACCAGATAGCCTTTAGGAATAATGAGGATGTTAAGAAAATAGTCTACAACTACAAGACGGTTTGTGGTATTTAGGTATTCAAAAATACTGACTTTTGATCAGTCTACTTTGAAACAAAAATGTATAATTTATTTACATTTTTTGTCCTAAACTAGTAAAGTAAATTCCACCGCTGGTGAGCACCTACTTATACACGGTACCCTGTTTCCCTTTTTGAGAAGAAGCTGTTTTTTCCCCTCTTACCGTAAATGATTAAACTCTTTTTCCATCAATTTAAGTCTCATTTCTTCTCCCCTCCAGAATGCTTCTGCGTCGGCACACGTTTTAAGTTGAGCGCGGATAAAGATCGGGACAGTTTAAAGCAGCGACAGGACGTCACATGACATCACCCAGGCAAAAACATTTTCAGTATTAATAAGCAGCTGAGGCATTCGGGAATCTGCCATCAGAGGAGTTCTTACTTGATTTCTATGAGCATGTAGGTGATGCACAGCGACAGCGCTCCCGCCATGTTGATCAGCACAAACGGGTTCATGCGCGGCAGCAGCACGCTGCTCAGACCTGGGACGATGCCGCACAAACTGCACACACAAACACAAAACACCAGAAACCACATTAGTGCACATGAGCACGGAGAAGAGTCCCGAGCTTCAACACAGTGCAATAACATTAAAACCGTAACGAATATCATCGTAATAGAAAAGTCAGTGTCACCCTGGACGTTGTCAGTATGTTTTTGAAAAGAGTCATTCAGAGACAGAAAACATCCTCATCTTCACTTTCAACTCCCTGTTTCAACAGATTAAGAAGCACAATCAGTTTCTGCACTAAGCTTCATAAGTCAAATAGAAAGAGTTCACATTTGAACCGAGCACACCGGCTCCTCTGCAGCCTCGATAAGCTGCCGTTTGTGTTTGTCTCGAGGATCAGACCTTTAACCCCATCACACCGTTGTAATAGACGTTAGGGACTTTATTGGATCATCGTTGTTTTGCTTCATGCCATGTTTGTCTGAGACTAAATCTCTGACAAACCTCCACAGCCAAGGATTACTGTTCTAATACAACTGCTCTGCCGTCATTTCAGTCACTTTGTGTTCTTAACTCTTGGTTGTTGTTGTTATAAAGACCAAGTTTAAGGACAAAAAGATAAGATAAATTCTGAAACTTCCACGAAATGCTAATACAAGGAAAACAAAGATGACATTCTTAATCCTTTGTGCAAAGCCATGATCGACTCCTGGGAAGCCGCTCGTCTTTGTTGATGCGAGTTCGAACACAACTACTACTACTAAAAAAAACAGATGATCCCACTTTCCCAAAGTGCCCTTTCTGTCCTGAGTAACCATCCGCTGATTTACCCCCCAAACCCCGAACTGAGCGCTCTCTTTGTGTAACACACCCGGGGCGGCGCTGCGGAGCCCCTTAACGGGTCAATGAACGCCACGCCGGGACGCATCGGCACTGTGCCGCGGGTCAACTTCAAAAGGCAAAACGACGAAATTCATCTCCAACATTTCATAATGTCAATGGGCGGGACTTCAATAAGATATATACAAAATATGAAGAACTAGAGAGCAGGGAAAAGGAAAGAATATGTGTGTGTGTGTGTGTGTGTGTAAGGAACGTTTTTTCTCATGCAGATGGACATTAAAGACAAATCCCTGTGATGACGTCCTCAGAGACAGGCGGTGAGTAACGGAAGGACCGCGAGTGTGATTCACAGTCGGACTCAACCCCCCCCCACACACACACACGGCAAACAAATCAGTTGCAAACACACACACTGTTAAACAAACACACAACTCAGGCTTCTGGCTGGTGAGGCCGAGAGAGCAGCAGGCTTTATATAACCCAGTTGGCCCCCAGACCCTGTTGAGGTTAAGTACGGACATGCTATTACAACACAGAGGGTAACAAACACACACACACACAAACACAAAGTCAAGCAAACAAATCAAACACGCACTGTTAAACCAACACATACATACACAAACACACACTAAGTGCTCCTGTGAAGGCATCCCGAGCGTCTCCGTTACACTCACACATACGTGCACACGCAGACACACGCACGCACACACAAAGACTGGAAACTAGGCTGGGACGTCCTGTTCATTTCTGCCCTCTTAGCCAATCACGGCTCAGCACAGTTCTACTGCTGCACAACTCTCCAGGCTGTCGCCCTCAGTAACCTGCACAAACTGAGCTGCTGACTCTGTTGTGTGTGTGTGTGTGCGTGTGTACGTGCGTGCGTGCAGGCATGAGTGAGGGAGTACTCCTACTTATCCCACTTAAGATGTGGGAATACACAGTGGGATGTAATATTTATCACAGCAGCATCCGTCTGCTTCGGAGTCAGGCTATCCGTTTCCATGGCAGCTTAACGAGAGATGAGGTTTACTTTGAATACTGCATTAGTTTTAAAATCAGAGACCCGGAATGCGAAGCGTCACAGAATGGGAGGTGAACAGTCAGCTATGGATTAAGTGTTGCTTTACTAACGGTTAATCTCAAGTAACAATCGGTGAACCGTGAACCCAGGTGAAGATCTGCTCACGTTGATCTCGCAGCTGCTTCTGAAACTCAATCAATGAGCCAATCTGTTTGTCCACCTGAGCATGTGACCTCACACTGCCCGCCGGTAACCTTTGACCCCAGTGTGCGGCCATATGTATGTGTGTGTATATATTATATATATATATACACACACTATACACACACACACACAGTGTAAGCAATGACACAACGTATGGGCACCATTAACAGTGTCAGGAGTGTGTGTGTGTGTGTGTGTGTGTGTGTGTTGACTCAGTGTAAGTAGATCCTTCCTGTTCCTACCTGACGGAGATCTGCTGATGAGGGAGAGAGCGACAGTGAAGGCGAGAGCGAGAGAGAGAGAGAGAGAGAAAGGAAGTGCTGCAGATCTTCTTACCTTCGACTCAGATCTGCCACGTGTTCCTGAAGCCAACTGCTGCTAGCCGCTGGAGACACAGAGACAGAGACAAAGACAAAGATGTTTCAAACAAACTTGATCAAAAACCAAAAAGACAGTTTTCATAACTCAATCTGTCCGGGTAACCAGGTTTTACCATAATCAGGGTGATGCATTAGTCATAAAAACAAACATTTTCCCCAGTGAGCATTTCTCCCCCTGGAGAGACACGTGTCACCGGGGTTCTTTTGGGACAAACACACAATTTTTGCTGAAGCTTCATGTCCTCAGAGGGCTGTAAATGCTGCACACATGGTCACATTTCTGCCTGTAAAATGATCTCGGCATCTTTTATTCACTCGTCACGTACTATTTCTTAACAGCTGTCATAAGGAATTTTAGGCTGTAAGGAATTTACATGATTCTGGCGTCAATTCGCAGCATTGAGTCAATAACTGCGCTTTACTGAAAGTTACTATCATAACATAATAATATTAATGTGAGGGCAGATTGCATCCCCGCTCTGATTAAACCATTAGAGCCGCTTCGAGCGGGGAGCAGTCGACCTCTTCGTCACGACGAGGGTTAAAAATACTCTTGTGGGGACGGGGGGGCGGAGGAGGAGGGGGGAGGGTGGGATCACCCACGCCTCTTTAAAAAAAGATAAGCGCTCTCGACTCCGCCGCGCCGTCCCACCTTTAACAGCGAGACCTGAAGGCTCGGTGTCGGGTCAAAGGCCCTTCACATCCCATCCTGCTCAGACCGGAGTGTGTGTCTGTGTGTGTCGAGGTGGTGGGTGGGCAGGGGGGGGAGGGGGGTTGTTTGTTTTGCTAGCAGGATGAGTCAGTCTAAACAAACATTTTAATAGAGTGACTTATTTATGATCTGTGTGTACGAGGAGGGCGCACAATGTGTGTGTGTATGTGTGTATGTGTGTGTGTGTGTGTCTGCCCGGCTGGCCCTCTGGCTCACTACTTTACCACTGTCTGGAACATGGTTGCGTAATGCACTTTTAGTTTCGCTCTGTCAGAGAGTGTGTGTGCGCACAATGAGTGCGAGATATTGTGTGTTTCGGCAAAGTTAAGTGCCTGTGTGTGTTTGTGTGTGTGTGTGGTTTCATCCCCCTCCCATCCCCTAAATGTCAGATGTTAAGTGATGTTGAGACTGCTATGGACGCAAGAGCAGACAGCTGACACACACACACACACGCAAACACACACACGCACACACACACTGACCTCATTCATCAGTAGACTGTTCATACGGATAGTGAGTCAGCCCGAGATGAGAGGAAAGGAGAGAGGAAAGGAGAAAGGGGAGGAAAAGGAGGAGAGGGATTAGAAAGGATGAGACGGATGTGACGTGAGGACAGAAGGTCTGTTTTTAAAATCCCTTTATTAAGCCATTACATGATAAAGTGGATGACACAGGGCAAACTAGAGGAGCGGGTAGAGAAGGAAACAGGAAGAGGAAAAGGAGCAGAGGGAGGAACAGAGGAGAGGAGACACAATGAGACATGAGTAAGTGGAGTTAAGAGAAGTGCACCTTTAAAATCGGTTTAGTCTTTTCTCTTCACTGTAACTTACATCTGGGGGTGTAGAGGAGAGGAAGGAACAAGGAGCATTTGGAGAGTTTGAAGGAGGAAGGGAGATCTTTGGATGTGTTTTATAACAGACATTTCTGAAAAAGCTTCAGTTTTATAGCTCCCTTCTTCTTCTTCTTCTTCTTCATTCTCCCTTTCCCATCTGCCCCAAACTACTGCCGGGCCCAAGAGACCCTGTGTTCTCTAGATGTGTGTTTGTGCGTGCCTGTGTGTGCCAGTGTTAATTTCATCGACGAAAACTATGACAAAAATGTTCGTTAACAACCTTTTTTTCCATGACGAAAACGAGACTAAGACGTGACAAAAACTATCTTCAAAAATAAAAACTATGACTAAATCAATTCTAACTTTCGTTAACGAGACGAGACGAAAATGTTGGTGGTTGATGAAGTCGCACTACTTTTTCCCCCCTAAATTTGCACGCACCCACCAGACAGGCAAAGTACGGCCCCGTACTGCGGATATTAACACGTCATGATGACGTCATCCACGAACCCAGAACGCTCGCTCACGTCGGTGCAGAGGTGGTTCTTGTCCACCGACTACGGACCGCGACGACTATTTTGCGCTTCGGCGAGTTTGAATGTGCGCTTTGTTAGTTTAGCTCAGCTCTCCCTCACGCATTTCAACTATAGTTCACGCGCCACATCGTGAGAAGACGGTGTTAAACCGCCTCGGCCACCGTACGCTCGTTACTAAGCAACGTAGAGGCGCGCACACGTGACAGGTGGATCCTTTTGATAGAAGTGCGCAGTGCAGGTGAAGGACGTGGCGGCAAAGAGCAGGTGGAGGAAAACCCGCAGGACACAAGAGAGAAGAACTGGTCATGAAACCAACAAATAAACAAAGAGACAAAGAGAAAGAAAAGACTGTTGAATGAAAAGTGGGGGTCCAGTTTAGAACGGCTGGTTTATGATGCAGCCAAGAAAATAATGTATTGCACCGATTGTAGGACTTTAAGGTCTCTTTTGTTGGGACAGTGGAAACAATAACGGACGATGAAGTTTCTGGTTTCCGTGTCAAAAGCATTGCAAGTAAACAGACAAAGACAACAAAGCGTTGCGTTTAGATCCCTGGTCCTCATGAAGTTGTTACACCTTTGCCAATTTGTTAAATTGCCTTGCAAATAAATGCTTTGCTATTTGTTAAAATCCAAATCCTTTCATGTAATGATTTTTCACATGTCATTTATATCAGCTCACACAAACACTTCTACCATTTGTTCTTGGCCCGGCTCCTCCGTCACATTTTACAACCCATTGTGGCCCGCGAGTCAAAACGTTTGCCGACCCCTGCTATAGACTACTGTCCTAGGAGGGACATCTAATGGACAACCAAGTACTGCAAGCTAGACTATTATGCAGCTGTAGACACAACACAGGGGGTCCCCGGGCCTGAGTAGGGAAGAAAAGGAGTTTAATATGGCTATTAAATGTGACTAAAACTAAGAGGGATTAAAATGACTAAAACTAATATGCATTTTCGTCTAAAGACTAAGACTAAATCAAAAATAGCTGCCAAAATTAACACTGGTGTGTGCTTTCAGACAAATATGTTTTGTCTGTTTGGGTTCAGGTACAAATGAGGTGTGTGTGTGTGTGTGTGTGTTCCGTTCATGATGCAACAAATTATTACTTTAGTAGATTTATTCCCAAAGAACATCTTTCAAAATCCAGTTCACTTGAAGTGGTGCGTGTCAACTTAAATCGAAGTATTTCCTTCTCTCTGTGCGACAAAAACAAGTAACTTAAAAATCGCCTTAGAAATCAGACAATATGAGTTTAAGTGTGTGTACAACTTCCTGATTCCTGCAGTGAGGAAAGGAGTAATCTCTGATCCCAGAGCATTCGTGACTCATCTACTGCCAAAACAGAGCGCAGCATTTGTTTTTACATCAATAATCCTCGGTCCCCAGTTAGGGGGAGGGGGGGGGGGGGGTTGGGGGGATTACCCAACCTCAACCGTGAAAGGGGAGAAACCTCCCCAAAACACACACTAATCCACCGCCTTTAAAACGGCGTGCAGAGTGTGCCGCTGTTCTCCAGGACCAACACACGCACTGGGACCTGTAGCTGGGCGCACTGGGACCTGTAGCTGGGCGCACTGGGACCTGTAGCTGGGCGCACTGGGCTCGGCCGTACCTTCTGAGACGTAGGTGAAGGGCTTGTTCCTGACGGACAGCAGCGTCAGCAGGTTGAAGAACAGAGCGACGAACGTCCCGACCAGCAGGCGGCCGCTGCAGAGACACACAGCGAAACGTTATTAGGTACTTCCGGTGCAATCAGATACCACTGCTCTGGCTTTAGGCCACATTTTAGCTCGAGTAGTTCCATTACCGAAGGATGCATTTATGGCTGAGCTGTTGTGTTGGTGCAGTTGTACCCCAGTTGTAAAGTGGTAACTTTTATTCAGATAATAAAGCACTGTTGCATTACAAATCTAGTTGACGTGTGTTCAACCCTCCCCCCTCCAGACGGGCCGGGACACTTCAGGGTCACAGTCGAGTGCATAAAACATGGCGCCAGTGGAACTCTGTTCCGAGTAAAGCTGTTTGTCGGTTTCGTAAGACGCACTCTTGAAAGTCAAAGTGTCACAAAGGAGCCCAGAGCGACGCCGCTGCCTTTCCCAGGGAGCCGCGGAGGGGTCGGGGGGGGCGTCTCCAAAGCAGCTCCTCTGCCAGCGGCCTTCACTCCATCAATGAATGAGCTGGTCTTAAGTTTTGTTATTGCAATTATTGTGTATAATTTTAAATGGACCAAACAGATAAAACGTGGGCCCAGGAAAAAAAAAGCACGGGGGGCGAAAGGTTGCCCGCCGGTGAGCCAAAACAACTGGGTGACAAACCCCCTCCCCCTCAACGACACCCACCCTCCCTCCAAGAACAAAGAGAGAGAGAGAGAGAGAGAGAGAGAGAGAGAGAGACGGCCTCCGTCTCTTCACCCAGCAGACACCTGTCCCTTTGGCTAGCGTCTTTCATGCCGCTCAATCACATTCACTCACAGAAGAGAAGGGGTGGGAGCGAGCTGGGGGGGAGGGACACAAGAGGGAGGGGCGGGGGAGGTATCTCGTCACAGGAGACAGGTTTAAGGCTCATTGTGTTTTAGGTTATACAAGCCGCCACTAATCTGTTTTATTATGGAGGGATGATGGAGGGAGGGGGTGCGGGGTAGAGTCTGAGTAACTGATCAACTGATTTAATCTAAATTTAAATTAATTTAACACACTGCCTCATCCAGATAGACTTTACTGTTAAAATCTGACTTGACTGATGAGAATCCCTGTAAAGTAACTTGTTTATTCAGTACAGTGCAAAGTCACACATATGCCTCAATGGACTCTGCAGACAACCAACGACACCCCCGGTCCTCTGAATGAACATGAAAAAAACATCTGAAAGCTGTGAGGTTTACATTAGACAATTAGGTGTTAAAAGGTATTTAGGGTGTGTGTGTGTATAAAACGCCGCTTTTCACTCCCCGACCCTCTGACCGCATGTCTGACCCAAATATTTGGGATGTTCTGTTCCGACAACAGCTGGACGTGAGTGTTTGCGAGTATCAAAAGGGAATTTGTGTGTGTGCATAACGGAAAATACTTACGTATGGACCTCAGGCTGCTCCATGAAGCGCTCCACACTGACAAAACAGAAACAAACACAGTCAACAACACTGGCCAGGTGGGACTACGCTGACTGTGTGTGCGTGTGTGTGTGTGTGTGTGTGTGTGTGTGTGTGTGCGCGCGCGTCTGTGCGTGTGTGTGTGGGGGCGGGTGTTTGTGAGCTAGAGACAGAGCGATCGAGACAACTGAAATGAATGAAAGTAGACAAGGAGCTAACAAACAGGAAACACATTAACAGGCAAACACACACACACACACACACACACACACACACACACACAAGGCAGTGGGTCTCCTCCCTCCGTGCTGCTGCCCTACTGCGCCATTCATGACATGTACTGTAAACGGTGTGTGTGTGTCTCATGCAGTGATTCGGCTACACAAAGAGGGAGACAAGTGTCTGGTGTCCCTCAGGGTTGCTGCAGGGCGACCCAATGGAAATAATTAGTTTTATTTGGGCTCGTCATACTAAAGAGGATTTGATACCATCTTAATGTTTATGGCGGCAAGCGTATCGAAACCAGGAGGAAAAAACAGCAGGATTGATGAATTGGGCAGTTTCTTTAATTGAAATTTGGAGTAAATGTTGTAGCAATAAGTGAAGTTAAGTTGCAGCAAACATCCAAGTTTAGTTTGTGGATTCTTGGCTCAAAGGAGGGTTTAACGACACCACACTGATCTCGACCTCTGACCCCTAATATTGAGTAAGTTATAGGCCACGCTGACCTGGGGAACGTACCAATTAGTTATATCGTCAACACAAAAAATGAACTGAAATTTTACCAGATAAAGATACTGGTTGTAAAACATGTAGTTGTGTGTCACAGGATGAGGTGATGTTGTAGGTTGGTCGAGGGTCATTAAATGGACACACGGGAGCCTCCAAAGAAGAGAAATAAAAGGTCAGCTCGGTTTCAAACTGGGCTGGAAATGTTCCCTTCCACTTCCCTGGGGACTGACCGCAAGACAACCCCACACGGGGCGCCAGGAGAGGGTGTGTGTGTGTGCATGGTTGTCATGACAGCCAGGCAGTGACATTCCCACAGCCCCTATTAGATGTAGTAGTTCACACCACATGCACACAAACACACAACACGAACAGTTTCTTCCCGTCGGCAGTCGGGCTCATGAACAGAGCCCGGTCCCCCACTGACTGACTCTGACATTCCACCGGTCACTCCTTCATACTGCACATGTCACTTTAACTGTCATTTCTCACTCGTCACTTTGTCACTTGTTCGATAGTGCACTTTATGTTTAATATTTTTTTACTTTTTAAATACTTGACATTTGTAACTTTAACTTTATTCTCTTGTTTTATACTAACCCATAGCCTTATTCTACTAACCCATTGCATTCGCATTTCATTTTATTATTACTACTTGTGCACTGCTGTCTTGTTGTCTATTGTTACACTGTCTACTGTCACGCACCAACCGCCAAGACAAATTCCTTGTATGTTTGACATATTTTGGCAATAAATGTTTCCTGATCCTGATCCTGAACAATGTCTTTACATCTTTGCACATGATGTTATTGTGTTTTAGACTGAAAGTTTGTTAACATGTTTATTTAATGGTCTCATGACAGGGAGCAACCACTTTTCCCTTGATTTACAGTGTGATCACTTTATCCTTTTGTTGTTATATTTTCCTAAACATTCCGTATCACATATGATCCCACCCTATTACTTTTTACACTTCATTTACAATGTCATCATTCATTTATTTGACGATAGGAATCATGCAAGACCCAATATCCGTTTGGGAGTCATATTTAATTGGAAGTTAAAGTACTGTAGCTGACCGGCGTATGCACGTTGCCATGACAACACCGGAAGATGATTCACGCAATGTGTATTCATTTTATTTCTGCAATTAGAATTTATTAAGTTCACTGTAATTTTGGGTACCTTGTGTTAACGGTTTGCCCTTGTTTTACTCACGATGACACACTAGCAGAAAACCTTTTCTTTCTAGTCTGTCGCAAACGTGGACTTTCATGACCAGTGTGGATAAAAGTACTAAACACTCAGTGTAGTATATCTACACTGTGTTGTTAGTACTTTTATTTAAAACCACATGCACACAAACACACAACACGAACAGTATTCAAGTATTTAAAAGTATCAATGACGCAGAGCGGGTTAGAAAAATCCTGGGGTCCAATTATTGCATTTTTTAAATGGTTTGGTGGCCTCGTAGAGCTGAGACTGCAGAAAAACAAGCACCCGGAGTGGAGCAAAGCACTCTGGTGAGACTAATAATGTGGAAGGAAAAAAACAAAGACAAAAGAAAGAAACAATTGGAAATATTTTGTGTATTGTTTTGGAAATATTAATTCTGAGTCACGCTAAGAAAATAATTGAAGTTTTAATCGAGAGAGACAGAGTGAATGAGACAAAAGAAACAGACTCTTGAAGCCGGGCTGCTAATTCTTGATGATCTTGATGTTGATGTTCAATACTTTGGTTGGAATTTGTTCCAGAAAGCCCAAAATCAATTATTAAATCCTTATGAGGAAAAGGGGCAATTATTATTATTTTGTGCCTCACCGGAGATCCAAATGCTGCACGTTGCTGACGGAGTATGAACAACAGACGCGTTTGTTGTTTATGTTTGTACTGATTATTTGGGGGCGGGGCTTGCAGGGGGGCCTCACAGGACCTCTGGGTTTTACGCGTTTGGACAATTTTTTAAATCTGGCATGCTCTTGCTAATTTCTCAGGATTAACGACCCCGTATTTAATCCGTCTGAAATTCTTGTCCACCAGTGTCTCCTTTGATGCATGTGTGCTTTGTTTGTTTACGCACCTCTCCTTCAGGATGAACAAAGGCTCCCAGCTGGATCAGAACAGTGGAGGCAAAAACGGCCAAAACTTCCAGTCTGTCAAACCTGCAGGGAGAAGGAGGGACAGCGTCATCCGATGTGGGAGAAACCAACGGAACATACTGCTTCAGTCGAGGACCACCAGGAAAACAAGAAATGTGCACAGCCTTGTTTTTGGCTTCATGTACCGTCTCCAAAAACCTGTCGCACCAAAACGCCACTCTGTAGAAACAGGAAATCAAGAGAAAAACACAAGAGACCAGATTCTGAACGCTGGCTTCCCCGTCAGACGTCATTGTGACGGTGTGGAAATACAGCCATTCCCACATCACTTTAAAAACAAAGACATATTTCCCCCCAGGCATGAGGATTGCATCACGGTTGTTGCCTTACCCCTAACCATGCAATAATCAGAGAAATGGACTTGTTCATCTTATGTATATGAAGGTTCCATTTCTACCAGTCTAAATGGACGAGGACGGAAGGCGAGCGACGGGCTGATTCAAGGTTCTAACTGTTGCTGACCTTCTGCCCTCATCACGGGGTCACGGGGTCAATCCTGTCACAGTCTGTACAGGATGAGCGGGTGAGCGGTCCGCCGGGCTTAAGGGGGTTAAACGTGACGTGAACGGTAAGCGATATAACGGCCCGCCACAGTAAAGCGGGTCAATGCCACCGACATAAGAACTACCGCCTGTCCGGCCTGTGTCCAGTGTTCTAGTGGCCTGTGTGCAGTGTTCTAGTGGCCTGTGTGCAGTGTTCTATCGACCTGTGTGCAGTATTCTATTGACCTGTGTGCAGTGTTCTAGTTTCCTGTGTGCAGTGTTCTAGTGTTCTAGTGGCCCTGTGTGCAGTGTTCTAGTGGCCTGTGTGCAGTGTTCTAGTGGCCTGTGTGCAGTGTTCTAGAGGCCTGTGTGCAGTATTCTAGAGGCCTGTGTGCAGTGTTCTAGAGGCCGGTGTGCAGTGTTCTAGTGGGCCTGTGTGCAGTGTTCTAGTGGCCTGTGTGCAGTGTTCTAGAGGCCTGTGTGCAGTGTTCTATCGACCTGTGTGCAGTGTTCTATCGACCTGTGTGCAGTATTCTATTGACCTGTGTGCAGTGTTCTAGTTTCCTGTGTGCAGTGTGCAGTGTTCTAGTGTTCTAGAGGCCTGTGTGCAGTGTTCTAGTGTTCTGGAGGCCTGTGTGCAGTTTTCTAGTGTCCTAGAGGCCTGTGTGCAGTGTTCTAGTGTTCTGGAGGCCTGTGTGCAGTGTTCTGGAGGCCTGTGTGCAGTGTTCTGGAGGCCTGTGTGCAGTGTTCTAGTGGCCTGTGTGCAGTGTTCTAGTGGCCTGTGTGCAGTGTTCTAGTGTGTCCGGTGAAGTGTTCTAGAGGCCTGTGTGCAGTGTTCTAGAGTTGTAGTGGCCTGTGTGCAGTGTTCTAGTGGTCTGTGTGCAGTGTTCTAGTGGCCTGTGTGTAGTCTTCTGGTGTTCTATCGGCCTGTGTGCAGTGTTCTAGAGTTCTAGTGGCCTGTGTGCAGTGTTCTAGTAGTGGCCTGTGTGCAGTGTTCTAGTGGCCTGTGTGCAGTGTTCTAGTGGCCTGTGTGCAGTGTTCTAGAGTTGTTGTGGCCTGTGTGCAGTGTTCTAGTGGCCTGTGTGCAGTGTTCTAGTGGCCTGTGTGCAGTGTTCTAGTGTTCTAGAGGCCTGTGTGCAGTGTTGCAGTTGCCTGTGTGCAGTGTTCTAGTGGCCTGTGTGCAGTGTTCTGGAGGCCTGTGTGCAGTGTTCTAGTGTTCTAGTTGCCTGTGTGCAGTGTTCTAGTGTTCTAGAGGCCTGTGTGCAGTGTTCTAGTGTTCTAGAGGCCTGTGTGCAGTGTTCTAGTGTCCTAGAGGTCTGTGTGCAGTGTTCTAGTGTTCTGGAGGCCTGTGTGCAGTGTTCTGGAGGCTTGTGTGTAGTGTTCTAGTGTTCTAGAGCCCTGTGTGCAGTGTTCTAGAGCCCTGTGTGCAGTGTTGTAGTTGCCTGTGTGCAGTGTTCTAGTGTTCTAGAGCCCTGTGTCCAGTGTTGTAGTTGCCTGTGTGCAGTGTTCTAGTGTTGTAGTGGCGTGTGTGCAGTGTTCTAGTGGCCTGTGTGCAGTGTTCTGGAGGCCTGTGTGCAGTGTTCTAGTGGCCTGTGTGCAGTGTTCCAGTGGAATGTGTGCACTGTTCTAGTGTTCTAGTGGCCGTGTGTGCAGTGTTCTAGTGTTCTAGTGGTCTGTGTCCAGTTTTCTGGTTTTCTAGAGGCTTGTGAGCAGTGTTCTAGAGGCCTGTGTGCAGAGTTGTAGTGGCCTGTGTGCAGTGTTCTAATGGCCTGTGTGCAGTGTTCTAGTGTTCTAGAGGCCTGAGTGCAGTGTTGCAGTTGCCTGTGAGCAGTGTTCTAGTGGCCTGTGTGCAGTGTTCTGGAGGCCTGTGTGCAGTGTTCTGGAGGCCTGTGTGCAGTGTTATAGTGTTCTAGTTGCCTGCGTGCAGTGTTCTAGTGTTATAAAGGCCTGTGTGCAGTGTTCTAGTGTTCTAGAGGCAAGTAAACAGAGTTCTAGTGGCCTGTGTGCAGTGTTCTAGTGTTCTAGAGCCCTGTGTCCAGTGTTGTAGTTGCCTGTGTGCAGTGTTCTAGTGTTGTAGTGGCCTGTGTGCAGTGTTCTAGCGGCCGCTTCTCTAATCCGAAGCAGGGAGTTTAAAGGTCTAAAATGTCACTTTTGAATAACACGTTTTACCGTCCCATGCTGTGTGATATTAATTGTCTACTTAAGAGGTTATAACCAATTATTTATTTTGAATAAATTCAGACAGATCGGACACACACGGACACACACACACACACACACACACACACACACACACACACACACACACACACACACACACACACACACACACTCAGTCTGAACAATCGAAGCACGCAGCCTGCATGATGCTGGGTCAAAAGTTCACGCTCTGCATTGTCATAACTAGCTGTTAAGTGGTGGGAGCGCCTATAGGAAATCTGCCGTCCGTGAGATAATGACTCGTATCGTCGCCACTATTGTGAATGCAGCCCATCGGTTAAGTGGTGAATGAAAGAACGTCATGTCAGAAAAACGGTCACTACGTTCTCGCGACGTTGTCTTACTCAACTCACAGCAGTAATCGAATGACCAACATTTGCTTAACAGCAAACTAATCGAAGGGACAAGTAACAGTAAAACTGCTGTTACCACCCTGGAAAAAAAATATCTTGATTTGTTTTGTCAGTCAGACTCCCATATAATGTCTGTGTGCGTCTGTAGTAATGTGTGCATAAATATAATATTTTTGTACTAAAATACAGCTTGCAACCCACAACAGAAGCAGAGGTGATGTCGAGCGAACTGCAGAACAGAGTGAAGCAGCTGTTTTACTGCCAATCTGCTGCTGAGACCATTGTTCTGTTACACGCAATCTGATAACACACACACACACACACACACACATCCTGAAAACGAACTCGCATATAAACCGGCATACCCAGATGTAAAGCCCCCCCACCCTAACGCGCACACACACACACACACACACACACAAAGAGGTATTACGGGAGCCAAGTGGAGCCGAAAAACAGATTTCCACTTGATCGCCACTCTTCACCACCTCAAGGTCAGAGGTCACCGGTCAACTGCAAATACACAGTTGGGCACCTTCACTGACACACAAACACACGCACTTATAAAAGCTTTGGCTGAGCCTGACAACAGTAACTGAAGCTTTTCTGTCATTGCTACCTCAGTGTGTGTGTGTGTGAGAGAGAATGAAAGCACACACACACACACACACACACACACACACACAGCGCTTTGACTGAAGCTCCAACAGTGGATGGAACTGTGGACTCACCCAAACGAGTAGACCTGACTGGGTTTCTTCATGGACACCCAGGAGCTGATGAGACATGTGATCAAACTGCAGAGACAGCAGAGAAGAAAAGGCAAAAAGGGTTAGATAATGACACCAGAAACAGAGGTCAGCTAAAGTACACCATTTCTGTAATTTATTAATTTTAATCTCACAATTAATGTGTCATGAGTGGAGATTGTCCCTCAAAACCTTTAAACCTCGTCCCAGCTGAGCAGACATACAAGTGTTTTCTCATCCCTTACACGCTTGTTTCACGAGTGATCCTGCATATCTTGTGCAAAAGGTTGTTTTCATAGAGAAAATCTACTTACTTCATATTAGACTAAATAAATACACGGCACACGTTAGAAGCTGGAACCAGGAATGTAATTATTCTTGTCATTGGTTATTAATTAATTTGATTTTTCCCCTTTCTCTGATGAGACACACTAATGTTCCAGCTGATGCAGAACACACTCACCTGAACAGGTCAAAGATGGTGAGGTAGGTGTAGGCGGTTAAGGCTGAAATGACACAACAGAAGGATAAAAAGACCATTAAAACTCAAACACAAGCCCATTTACAGCTCTGGAACATCAACAACCAAGTTGGATCATTTATCAATGAGTTCATGATGCTGAACCGGCATGTCAATTATTTATTTCTGCAGCATGTTCACATACAAGGAAGTTGCGTCACATCAATCTGATGGATTGTTTATTTTATCATGGGCTGCTGGGTCTAATTAGACAGCGAGCTGAAAAGCCCAAAAGCCAATTAACGAATCAACCATCACAGAGAGAAGCAGCGTCGTCCTGCCTTTCCATCCTGATGCCAGTCGACCAGCTTTTTCTGTAATCGGGTTCTGCTGTGAGTGGGGGAGGGGGGGGATTAGAGCGGCTTTGTGCGGAGAGGAACATTTTGTTTCCCCACCACCAGTGTCCATGTTGGCCAACCTGACACCGTGTAATCCTGACAGAGGCCCGCGGCGAAGGCCCGGAGAGGCAGACGGGCAGCAGGACCGAGGCTGAGAGACACGCGGGGGGGTGGAGGGGGGCACGCAGATAGACAGCCGGAGAGAGTTTAGAGGACGGACGGACAGACAGACAGACAGGCGTGTGAGGGGGACATTTGATAGAGGGAAAGTGAAGGAGACAATCCCTGAGAAGAGTTCCAGGTAGGAAGGAGGAAACATACAGGATCGGCTGGGTCCAAAATCCTCCCTTGTCCCCTTAGAGACCAAAACACTTCCTAGTCGAATCAAACACTTTAGATTTTAGGGACATCAAAAAAACATTACCCCTTCACACCATCACAAGCATAGTTGCATAATCTTAGTTCGAAAGTCTTTTAAAAAGGAGGATAACTTTATTGTAGGATTTTAAACAGGAAGTTTTGCATCCAGTAAAACTAAAAAATTACCATCAGCTGTCGATGGATTGTGATGAAATTGGGCTTTTTCTCCAGCGCCATCACCAGGGCAACGTGACCACAACGACCACAGAACTCTGCTTTACTCCCTAAAGACCTCCTATGTACGGTACTGAGGAAATGTTTGCATGTGACAGAGTTCCTTCCCTGTATCAAGATGTGGTGGTGGAAAATGAGTCTTATGTGGAGCACCAGGACGGCTTCACGCAGGTTTATTGATCTGTAATCATCCGTTTCCTTGCGCTCTACGGCTGAACCTGCAGTGTTTGAAGTCCTTTCTGTTATTTTGATATGCAGCAGCTCGTCTGCCCACAGGGATCAATGGGGCTTAATGTCCCCGTGTTGTGTGGAATTAAAAGCAGCAGACAATAAAAGCAATAATAATACAAACCCTGACATCACAAACGTGACCCTGAAAGTGGGCCGGAACCAAATCAATAACTGGGCTGAAGTTTCCCCTCCGCTGTGCTCAGATAGGTTTACATACACACGAGAAACACACACGTTAAGACACAGACACACACACGCACACACATAAAGTCTCCTGCTTACAAACACTGACACCCAGAGGACGCGTGCATGTGAAACCAGAGCAACAAACAGAGCACGGGACATTATTCTTGTGACACACACACACACAGTATATGATTTCACCTTCAACAGAACTACACAGACCAAACACACAGAAATGTACACGTCTTAACCCATGCAGACGCATTGAGAGAGACACACACACACAGGACCTGAACTCAATACCCCCAACAGAGAGACCGATTCAAATCTTTTTCTCTCTCTTTTTTTCAGAAATGATCAACAAAAGATGTTTGTCTCCTTGCTCTCATTTTAAACTCCTTTAGCTTTATTTAATATTCCTTCCTTATTAATTTATTTTCAAACCGTCACAAATGATTAGAAAGAATGCAGAAGAAGGAAGGACGGACGAAGGATTTGGAGAGGTAGCAGGAAGGAGGAGGTGAGGGGTGGATGGATAGATGAGGAGAAATACGAGCAGGAGGATGAATATTTAATGCTGTCTGCAGAGGAGCAGCTTGCGCGCACACACACACACACAAGCTATAATCTACGTATAAGCACATTTACAGTAATTGTGCATATACGCAGTACAAATGCGTATAAGTAAATTCATATAAGGGGCCTGCATTTATCACAGTTTGCCTGACTGAAGTATTCAAGTGGAAAGAATATTTTCTAACAAGATTCTTCGCCCTCTGAAGGCTGAAGCAGTTTTTTTTTTCCCTCAGTTGCTCCGGTCACATTCAGTCGACGTGGCTAGAAAGATGAAGACCTGATGATGGGAGGTTTTTTTTTACAACGCACACGGACAACAAGAGATGGTTACAACAATGGACTTCTTTGCTTCAGTACAAAAATAACGTTGCGTGGAGTTGGTCACATGACAACAGCCCTGAATGCATTTATTCAAGTTTTATTCAAACGATTACGTACAAATCTGAGGTACTTTTGCTTCACGTGAGTCTCTCCTTTTTCATGACACTATATATTTAACATTTTCAGATATTTGAAGTACAGCTGAAAGGTATGGTTAATTATTCAGTTTGGTAAAGTCGTCACTGGTTCTGGTTAACAGCACAAGAGCTGACCTGACACCACAGGGTCGTGGTGTCAGGTCAGCTCTTGTGCTCTGCAGATGTAAACTAAAAGCTTCTATCGAACGCCTCAAGTGCTGCGGTGAGGAGGATGAATGAGCGAGTGAAGAGGAGGGACAGTAAACAAGGATGAACATGAGACTGGAGCGGAGGGCTTCTCCCCCCCAGTTCTCTCTCCCTAAAATGATTAATAAGTGGCATTATTCATTGTGTTGTGCACATGTAGTTGCACAGCCCCCCAAAAGAAATACTGTTGCAGTGGTGACAGACGAGACAATTCTCAAAACAGAATCCTCCATCTCCAAGATCAACAATTAAAACACAGATCCAGGGATTATTATCCATCCCATAATAACTCCCCATGACAGCAGCTGGCTGTTAAACTCAAAGTGTGGAGAAACAGCAAACACACCTGATTCACATAAAGAGCCTCCTCTCCTCTGGGGGGCCCCTCAACGATGGGCTGAACATAAGTAATCAGACCTGATGTTCACATCAAGACAACAACGTCTTTTCCTTATATACACAAGGAACAATCAACACAACTATATTTTAATTAAGAGTTGTAATTGATCCTCACGCTCACTGGACAAAAACGTCCTTGAAGCCCTCAAATGTCAAACTCTCTTAAACAACACTGGACACACACACACACACAGCCACATATGTATGTATGGTGTATGCATTAAAACAAGCATGTCTACATCTGGTTAACACACACACACACACACACACACACACACACACACACACACACACACACAGAGAGAGACAGCTTGTCATCCTGACATATGACAAGCAACTTCTGTCGATATGAAACCGGACCAAAGTCAAATGGCTTCTCGTGTCTCCACGTGGGATTTGAGAGGCAGCTGGCAGCGATGTTAAACCCACCACATCGCCACACCCAGCCGCCTCCTCGCCCCCCGTGGCCTGACCCTGCACCCCCCCCCCATCCCCTGATAATCAATGCAATATCTTCTGTCAAGACAAAACTGCATAAGGAAAACTAAGCTCTGGTATGTTGCTCAGACTCCTCTCTGCAGTTCAGGTCAAATATTCTCTCATTCATGAATATTTGCTCTCATGTTTAGAAACAAAAGCGTTTTGTACAAACTCCGTCTTCCAATTTGAAATGTTCATGAGTATGTTTGTTTAACCTGTTGATTGGAGAGGATCTAGAAGATATTTTGCCATTTGATGATGATTTTATAGATCAACAAACACTTGATAGTCATCAGAGGCCCGGGTGCTTTGCGGTGGAACGTCCCGTAGGCGTGGCCCCCGGGGAGCCGATCCGCGGACGTCCTCGGCGTGTTTAGGCGATCGAGGCTAACCGAGAGAAGAAGCAGATGTGGTGACAGCGTTACTGAGCGCGTGTGTTGGCTGTACTCACGGCCCCCCTGGGACGCACTGCTTCACCAGCTGTGTTCTGACACACAGGAACATTGAGGGCCCGGGGACCACGCACACAGACACACACACACACAACAGTCTCTGGAAGAGAAACAAACTGATGGATATGCACACAAACACTGCGCTAACACAAAACATGATGAATTTAAAGCCTTCCCCGTATTCCCCCTCCTGACCGACTGAGAGTCAGTCCATGAACGCAAAGCAAAATGTCACATTTAACAAAACATTCATTTCCAATAACAGAAACACATCTCCTGCTTCTACACACATAGAAATACACACACTTAATCGTATCTACGTCTTGTGTTTAGACGTCTGTGGAACAGACACTCGACCTGGTTTCTCATTGCTGCTCTGGGCCGAAAAACAGCTGGGGGCACGCACACACACACACACACACACACACACACACACACACACACACACACACACAGTACTACAATAGAATAGAAAACCAGGAAGTCATTAAATACTCATAAACACTGACAAATGAACAATACTGGGAAGTAAGTTTAAAATATATTTTGCTCATACTTTCCCCTCTTTGGGGCAAAAATCTAATCTTGGAAAACACACACACACACACACACACACACACACACACACACCAAGACAGTCTGTCCATCCATCAGCTGGGAGGAGAAGAGGCAACAAGAGGGTGGGATCAGGGGAAGGAGTGATGGGAGATGGACAGAGGTGAGAGAGGGGGGGGGGGATGAAGAGCTGAGGAGTGTGTGTGTGTGTGTGTGTGTGTCAGAAAGAGAAGGGGGAGACGTGGTTCTAAGTGACACAAAGGAGTGGGCTGTCTGTGATTGTCGGATTGAGGGAAGAAAAAAGGGAACAGACAGACTATTGGACAGACACACACAGATGTCTAAACTGCTGTGTGTGTGTGTGTGTGTGTGTGTGTGTGTATAAACACACACACACACATTTGGTCCAGTAGGACAAAAAGCTGATGCTTTGTAAGAAAGTCGATCCTGTTGTCCAAAGCAAAATTTGATACAAGAGGACCAGCATGACCCCCCCGCCCCAACACACACTCGCACACACACAATCACACACTTCTGTAGAATCATCATCAGCTTATGTTTCTGCAACAGTGCAACAAAGACTCTGCTTAAGCAGCACTCGGACACACAAGCTGACCTTTATGTACACAAACACACAGCAGCTTGCTGTAATAACCGGATGTCTCTGATATTATTATTTACTAAACATGAACATCTCGTTCTTTGTAAACACATTGGTGAATCTTAGAGGAGAGTCAGCACTGTGTTCCCTCCACAGGCTGCAGGCTGGAAAAGATTCACACATGAACACATAAACAATATACTACACGTGGTCCTGTGTCCTCGTAAACTAACACGTGTGTGCACACACACACACACAATAAGATAAGGAACAATGGGTCTGTATAACTTTGTAACTGTCTTTCTGCAGCTTGAACTAAGGGTTAATCGCCTCACTGCACCATCAAGGCATGAAGTCTCTGCCGCCATCCATGTGTGTACGTGTGTGTGTGCATTTAGACGGCTGTTAATCCGCTAATGGGGCCAGAGCAGCCTGTGTGTGTGTGTGTGTGTGTGTCTGCGTACGTGGGTTGTGTGTGTTTTCAAGCATGTGCATCAGGACGTGCAGTCCGCACACATGACACTCTGGCACATGGCATTAGACTTGCAAAGGGACGTGTGTGTGTGTGTGTGTCTGTGTGTCAAACTTCTATGTAGGTTATGCTTCATTTGAGCAGGAAGTGGAAAGGCACTGGAGGCGTTGGCTGTACATGTACATCGGGTACGGAGCCATATGCGCACGCTGCTCAAACCGCCACTTAATCGATGTCCCAAGTGTTGCATGATGGGGGAGAACAACCCCCCCCCCATCAGGATGTCAAAGTTTACGCTCGGAGGTTTGGCCTCTATTGGGGATTATTTTGGATTATTTTGCCGGCTCTGCTTCTGTTGTTTGACCATCCAGCTGTCATTAGATGTTAGGCATGCCGACATGGATAAAATGCTGTAAACTGTACCTCTCTTTATGATAATAATGAATAATATAGAAATTAACCAGTAGCACCTGTGCAGCAAGAGTAAAACACGCTCCCTAAAACCACGGGCTCCCTTCAGCGTGTTTGATTATCAACACTTTGACTTCTCACACTGTGAATGCCGCATGCGCCGCTCGCCATTATCTCAGCATCATTACATCTGTCGGATAAATGGAGCGACGCAAAGTAGCAGACGGTCTTCTGAATGTGCGAATGCGGCTGTGCTGACCACGTCGGTGGAGGAGACTTCATGCGCGAGGAGGAAAGGGCCCGATAAGTGTTGGGACGGGGCCGCGCTCTGCTCCTGTTGTTCTCATCGGGGGCCAAGTATCGACAGCGGGGTCGCTTTCCCCCGCTTGTTCAATACCCCTGTCCTCAGCTTCCTGTCTGCACGACACCCGACGCCACCGCTGTGTCTGTGTGTGTGTGTGTGTGTGTGTCTGTAAAATGCTGCAGTATTTGCAGGCGGAGTGAGCGAGGATACGGTTGCATGTTGTTCTTTGCGTGGCAGCATTTTCCTGAGCGATGGAATCCCTGAGAGGATCTCAGGTTGGTGGAAGACACGAGGCACGCTGACCGAAAACACAACTGCCTGCCTGCACAGACCCAAAGTCCCACCTGACTCAACATTTAAACTTACTTTAGAACACACCGGGTGTCTGAAACAAATACAACATGAATTGACTTCAATCATTTGCACTTCCCCCCCCAACAGATTACTTGTACTTTAACCTTAAAATCTGCACATTTCTTCCATGGCCTCCACTCAGTGTAATACACGTATGCTAAATTTAGCTGCGTCCGTCTTTGTGTGCGTTTTAGCCTCCTAAATATAAGCTTGGCACATCGTTCACAGTGAAACCAGCGGACAGCTCAGCTGAGGCAGAGAAATGCTTTTAAGTGCTCCTGCGTCTCTGCAAACAAACATGCACTCGCTTTCAGGAGCAACACCGACGGCTGTGGGGGTAAGTGACAAAATATTACATTCAGACACGCAGATGATCAGGCAGGCTGGAGGCAAACCGGCAGTGGATCCAGATCAGCCACTTTGTACCTGGGATGCAATGTGATACTCCCTCATTGCACAGGAGCACCTGCGTGCTCACAGCTGAGGTTTGTCAGTGAACAACAGACACTTTAGGCCCAATCGGTCGATCAGTAAAGACCAAGAACGTGCGGGATGCTTGTGACGGTTCTGACCGATGAGAGGCTCGTTGTCTTCACATCGAGTCGATGTTGTTGGTCACCGCCACTACTTACCAGCCCGGTAGGCGCCGCTGCTTTAAGCAATAAATCGTTCATCTTCAAGTTGTCTTCTATAAAAGGTCTGTCTGATCCTGAAGGCTTGTGGTGATTACTATTACTAATAGAAATTACAGCGTGAAAAGAGTAGAGTAGTTGAAAACCAGAATCGCCCTTTAAAACCTTTTCTAAAGCGTTGTTCTGCTGCGAGAGGGAAAAAAAAGGAAAGAAAAAAGCATGACAGATGCGTTCTGTGTTGTAGCACCAGAGGGTAGAAAGAGCCGCTGTGAAGGACTCCGTTTCTGCGACGTGCCCTTTAAAGTGCCATTTTTTGAGTGAGGTAACCCCCGTCAAAGACGTGCACGCACGCCAGTGCACGCGGCCGCAGCGGCAAAAGCAGGATCAATCTGAACCCCCGTGGTGAGACGACACTGGTAACACACTTCGACCTGTGCTTAAAGCTGCACACACCCACACACACGCTCTTTGTGCACGTGTTAAGTGTGTGTGTAACTGTCAATCCGTGTTTACTGTGTGTAGACAGGTATCTCCGCCTAACAATGTCTGCTTCCCGAGTCCCAAAGTGTGGGCTTTTTTTCGGCTTACGTCTGTGTCTGCGCGTCAGCTTGCATGCGTCGATCTGTCACTGTGTTTGTTTTATTTGCCTTTGTGTGTGTGTGTGCGTGTGTGTGTGCGTGCTCACCCATGCTGTTGGTGGAGCTGCACCACATCAGCAGACAGCCGGTGCACAGCAGGTTGAGAGCCCCGAACAGCAGGATCCTCCACGACTGAAAACGACAACAAGCAAACAAAAAGAACTGTTTAGGAGCAGTAAGAAAAGGAGCGGCTCAACCTCTGGCTCGAGACCCGACTGGGGGTCATCCTTTCATCGCCTTCATTCTTGGGCTCCGCGATCTGAATAAGATTAACTTCTGTTTTAAGCTGAATTTGTTTGCTTTTGGGCTGTCAGTTGGAAAAGAAAAAGACTCTTGAAGACGTCGCCTCTGACTTTGAACATCGACCATGTCTTCATAATCAATGACTTTTTTTTCCCCACACAAGGCCACACGTAGATGACAGCGTTCGTTGACCCAGAAGACGTGACACAACGCGGGTCCTCCTGAACGGGGTTTCCCCCGGCTGTCACTCGCCGTCCTGCGGCAGGCGGTCTGGCAGACGACCAGCCGCCGTTTAATCTAATTCCAGGCGTACAAAGCGAGCGGGGAGCTCGCCGGGTTTTGGCTGCCGCCGCGCGGCTCTCCGGGCGAGCGTCCTGCCCCGCGGTGCACCTGCTGCGCTGGGGGATTTGGGTTAAAACTCTGACTGAAGGAGTCACTGCAGTCTGAATCAGTTCGTCACAGAAACAGCAGCCCGGGGGAAGGTCACATCCGGCGAGCAAGCAAGCAAAAACACACAGACACAGAGAGAGAGACACGCTCATCTGGAACATCACCAGAGTTTGACAAAATTATTTATAGTCGGTTTGTCAATTTCAAGATGTATTCTCCTGAAATAACAAACGTAATATAAAATGATGCAAAAAGCCTCCAGGGTGTAATGAATAAAGACGGCAAAGAACGAGCATTTTCAAAATCCTTTGCTTTCTATGGCAAATAGCACAAAAGAATGGAGCAGAAACACATGTTTTTGTGCGTACAATGTGAACCGGACACCATACAACGCCGCTCTTACTCCTCCCTTACAGCCTGAACCTCCAGCTAAATTTTCAATGAGCAAAAGAAATATATAAAGAAATCCTTGATTCTAAATGAACCCTCAGAGCAGAAAGAGAGAGTGCATTTGTGTGAGTGTCAAAGAAGAGCGGAATTAGAAATGGAACGAGTGTGTGTGTGTGTGTGTGCGCACGCCCTGGCCTGTCACTTCGTGTTGGAGTCATATGCCTCGGTGGGGGGCGCCGAGTGCTGTGAAATCTACAATTACTGTGGTGTGCTGTGTTATGACAGCACTGGGGCGTCTGGTGACAGCACTAGCCAGCGACAGGCATGGGAGACCCACAGTGTGCGTGTGCACGCGTAGATGTGTCTGTGTGTGCAAACAGAGAGACAGCACTTGGCCCAAAACAGTCGCTCTCTCACACACACACACACACACAAAACCCTGACGCTCTGCTGCCCCCATCTGTCCAGTCAGCGCTGGCGCTCCGGCCGCACATCCGCAACTCATGAAGGGAGAGGTCGAGCGAGAGGTCGAGCGAGAGGTCAGTTTGACCCCGGCGGACCAGTGCGGTACGTGCTAGGGGAGGGGGGGGGGGGGGGGGGGGGGTTAGCCAGACGAAATGTGGGGCACGACGCTGTCGCTCGTCCTACAAACCGGCTCCCAAACACAAAAGAACCTCTTAAAAAGTCCCCTCTTCACGTGTAAAATCAGTTCAGTTGAGTCCAAACAGGTTTGTCGAGTCAAGCAGGGTCTCATGAGCAAACGTCATTGAGTTGCATTGTGAGAGGTGCAGGATCCAGTACTGTGAGAGCTTAGAGCAAACCATTATTTTCAAGATAAAGGTGTTGATTGATTACGATATTCTGACAGACACACACACAGCCTTTGGATTCTGACGTCACAGGTCGTGCAGGATCGTTCTAAAGCACCGTTGCAAGGTGACACGTTGTTAACATGTTGTTACCACGTTCGTGGCCGACCGAGGCCATCGGTTCCCTCAATGGTTTAAAGACCTTTGGATCAAAGATCACCGGCAACATCTGATGTATTTGGCATGAAGTATCATACGTCTGGTGTTAAAACACGCAGGCTACCTGAAATCAGAGGCGGACAAGACTGAGAAAAGGAAACAGGAGACGAGGGCGACGAGGCGTAGATGAAGCACCGCTCAGCTTTCGCCCTTTTGAACTGTGTTTGGTCCCTAAGCCGTGTAAGACACCATGTAATCCAATCCAAGGCTCTATGGGAAGGCAGGACCCCCTGCCAGTGTGCGGACAAAGTGGATTATAGTACAACACACACACACACACCCACCAGTTCCTTCTTTGGAATTTTTTACATCCCAATGTTGTTCAGAAAGAATTTTTAGCTTAAATTCTACATCTGTCTCTGTTTTGTTGGGAAATGAGGTGAACTCCCCTTTTTCCATGTACTCTAATTTTGGAGAAAAGAAAATCACTTCAAGCATTTGAACTAAACATGTTTTTGGAACAGTGTTGTTGTCGTCGTTGTTATTGTTTGTGAGTTTAGTGTTTACTGCTTTAGTGGATCATTAAATGTATTTTTATCGCATCAGATCACAGCCTGCAATAAAGGAAGAGCCTTTAAATCAGCTTTGTAATATTTGCTAAGAACTTTTTTCTGAGGGAAGTTTTTCACTTGAAATGAGAAATTCCTCATCAGGGACCTCATCCAAAGTAAAATTGGTGTTAAAACACATTTACTAAATCAAGCTTTCCATAATAAACAAGCTTGTGCTAAAGAAAGCAAGTTGAGGAAATAAAATATTCAGCAGGCCGTGATGTGAGGTGGAACAGAGATGTAGGTTATGCGTCAGAAGTGGTTGAAGATCATATCGGTTCCATTTTACAACAGTGATTATTCGCATTGGCATGTATTGTAACTGAAAGCAATCTAAAATGACCACAAATGATACAAGTGATGCTCAAAAAATGTATGAATGAGGGTTGAGAATAATATTAAAGGGCCGATGAATTGTTATGTCCCTGGTAGGGACGATTCTCAAGTTCCATCTCAAGCTGAAAAGCACCAAACTCAATTGAATAGACCGATTTAAAAACAGACACAATGGTAATGAATCACTGCACTTACAATTGGTGCTAACGGAATAGGGAATATAAAGAAATCAAAACCACAGGTGGGAGCTGTCAGACAAAGCGGACCGGCTGCCAGCTTGGGGCTGATGGTACTTTACTCGCTGCTTTCACTGGAACTCGGTGACCTGCTATGAAAACAGGATTACTGGAGGTGTTTGGGTTCGACAGGGGCGACACGGCTTAGAGCACAATGGGATTATGAAGAGCGGACTTTCCAGGCGCTAACTACCGATTTAGAACCAGGAGGAAATCATGAAAATGGGTCCAACATGATTGCCTGTTAAACAAGGAAGTTAGAGTAGGGTTGTGAGCTAACGTGCGAACACACACACCTCCTGGCTTCGTCGACAAAGAAGAAATAGATGCTCTGATAAAACACACACAAGATCTTTAAGAAGATAATAGGCGCTTGCTGTTATGTTCATATTCTGAATGTACAGTGCAGATACACTATGTATTTAAACACACACTGACACAAACCTACCCGTCTATCTGAGGTGACCAGTCTGAATTCCTGCTGGAGTTTTCCAAAGAAGGATTTGTGAGTCTTTCTGAATGGATGAATAGTGCCCTGCAAATTAAAACAAAAGAAAAATAAATATCAGTACTGAACTAACTTTTAACCTGAAAGCAGATGATGGAACTTCATTTGATGAAAGACTTGTCTGCACTGCCACCAAGTGGCGTGTCGGTGTACAACATTGACCTCAGCTACACTGGATACAACAGGCATCCTGTCACACCAGGTAACAATATACATTTATATTCTGGTGTGTTTAGAGCGGCGGAGCCTCTTTACATAACAATGATTTGAATAATTTGATGGCTGATAAGAATGCCCCTTTCTGTTGAAAGTACAGGCATCTTAAAGTAATCAAACTTTCTTAACTGTAGAATTTTTACTTTTGTCCTTGTCACATATTTTTAATTGAACCACTGAAGTACCACCGGACCTTTGTCAACAATTACCATCGTGTGTGACAAATCAAAAACAAAACACCTTAACTCTCAAGTCAAAGTGTGCCATCATTCTTTAAAGCCTGTTAGACGTTCTACAAACCCCGGCCCAAACCTTCTTTACAGGCATGAATACATACTAGAGAACAAAAGTCATTGTAAACACAGAGTGAAAGAACTCTGAGAAATAAGGAAAGTGTGTGGGTGTGTGCCTTTAGTCAACAACCATAAAACCCATCCAATAAACCCCCCAGAGACACTCACCAAGACGTATGTGTCCTGCTCATGCTTCTTCCTGTGCAAGTGGACATCTGTGGAGGAAGACGGACCCCACCATCAACACGTAAGAGGATTAAAGGTCAGAATACGATTTACGGTTTCCGTAAATTTTGTTGAAGATCGTTAACTAACGTTAACATAAGTGAGAGGTTAAAACTAGTCGAGAGTAGGTTCACTGCTAGGTAGTTTAGCCTACTATATACAATATTACCATCTATAAAACATGATTCACTGACCCCAACGGGGGGAAACGGTTTAAGCGGACCGTAAGAGTCGCTGTCCGTGTGGACCGTCGTTAAAGAAAAACTCCGCTGAGGTCCAACACTAAAACTCAGAATGAGCTGTCAGCCGTCGGTTAGCACAGCCGCCTGTTGTTAGCTGTTAGCCTGCTAGCATAACAAACCTGAATCCCCGACGCTAATGACATCCACCGACACCATGTCAGGTTTATCCAGCGGCCCCACTTTCCTCTCGGTGACTCCAGACGGCACCACATCGGGCTTAGAGCCGAACTTTCTGGGGTAAAAGTCCCCGGTGTTGTGGTAAGGCAGACCCGAGGACGTGGACATCATTCCGTCCGTCGCCATTTTGAACTTCCTGTGCACGATTTCTTCTTCGTCTGGTTTTAAAAAGGGCTGCGAACAACGTGTAATGAGTCCACAGCGCCTCCAGCTGTACCGGAGGATGAAGTGAGATTTTCTCCTTGAACTTAGATCGAACTGCCTGTTTGGTATTCATGAGCTTCACAGCCTGTTTCTCAACTCTGTTCATAGATTAAAATCAGATGCCAAACTCAAACTCTTAAAGTCCTGGCTGACAAAATTATCATGTTCTTGTTTAATATAAATTTCAGTTAAAGTTGAGTGTGTGTTTTTCAAGTGAGAGGCCCCCCAAACTGAGTCGCGTGCCTCGGGGGAGGGATAGGAAGTGTGGAAGGGGGGAGAGAGCAGGAGGAAAGGAGTGGTGCGACAAAAGAAACAGAGAACGCAGAAGTACATTCCATATGTCGAAGCACAACGAAAGGCAAACATACACACAAGATGTGTGTGTAATTTAGAGGAAAGAGTTCTGTAAATATAATAATATATCTTACAAAAAGAAAAGAAAACATACATTTCTTTCAAAATTCACATCCTCACTTTTGCTCTTATGTGTGTTTGAAATAAAATTGATTTGATTGCTTTCATGGCACGTGATCATTATGTTATGAGGATGTCTTACATTAACGGGGAAAACAACTTTATAACAAACAGCTGAGTAAATAAGATATTTCTATACGTAAGTTTTATGTTTTGTTTGATCAACTTCGAGCCTTTCAGTAACACCTTATTTCCACACAACTTATATCCAAATGTACTGTTCAACTGGCTAAACGGGATCAAATCCACAAAGACCAAAACCACAAACGGGGAGGAACAGTTTTATACAACAAAAGATGTTGAAAACACGCGATCAGACGTGTTTGCCCAGCGATTCCTGCCCTCAACCGCCCCACGGCTTGAGAAATGTAAAGAATGTCAACGGACCATTACCAAAGGATTCACTGCCACCAGCCAGCGGGCTTCCTTTCATCGTCCCTGTGAGGACGTGAAGGTGGACCAGTTGTTTGGGAGTTAGTGTAGATATGGAAAGAGAAGAAGTGGTGTGGTCAGATTGAAAGGGCTCGTTTAACCTCACGGTATGTGAGTGAAAACGCCTCCTTAAACCCGCCAATGAGCCTCCGATTTACAGATGTGCTAACTTAATATACCAACCCCAACCACTGCAATGTGGATTTAATGTCTTAATTACACTGTTTATGTCTGTTAAAGTAACCAGCATTAAAAGAAAGAGGAAAGGTTCACTAACTTTTCAATAATAAACTCCTTTAAAGTTTTCTCCCATCTGAAGCAGTTGTGGGGAAGTTTTTCCTCTTCACAGACTTTTGGGGTCTGGTTGGCGACGGCTGTTCCTCTAAGTCAAATAAGAGGGAATGTGATTATAAGCTCTACAAATAAACCAGACCTATGGGGACATGTGAACAAAACTTGATTATTCTTTTGCTTTTAGTGGGTAATTATTTGTGTGTGTGTGTGTGTGTGTGTGTGTCTGCAGACTGTCAGCATGCACTGTGCCTCCCATCTGGTAGACATTGAACAGGGTTCTTCCATCATTCACTCTTTCACAAACACACACATCCTCGTGTGTGTGTGAATGTGTGTGCGTGTATGTGTTGAAAGGAGCTAGGCAGCTCCTCCTTTTATTACAGCGGCTCACACCCTCTCTCTCTCTCTCTCTCTCTCTTCCTCAGAGCTGCTCAAACCTCGGCCGGCCGGCAGTGGAAGAAAGCTCGACTGTACAAAAAAGCAAATTCTCTACTCTCAAGCTAAATCTTCACTTCACTGAATCAAGATGAGCGCCAACGCCCGACCTCCTACAGCGCTGTCCAGGATGGAGCAGGCGAAGGACATGAAGGAGGAGGACAAGTTGTACAGATACGACGGCGTGTTGTACCCGAGCCTCATGTGCCCTGAGGAACACCTGAAGGCTCTGAAGAACTTCGAGGCCAGAGAGGACGACGTCATGCTGGTGGCTTATCCCAAGTGTGGTGAGCTTTTTTTTTTCAAATGTTTTAGTTGGAGAATAACAACCTCCTGAACTTTGACCTCCCTTTTGGAATTGGAAACACTCAAACACAGCGTTGTATTAGAGGCTCAAGAGGTCACGCTGGATTTCATCAACCAATGCTTGAAACGTCAGCAAACAAGAAGAATACAAGTTAGAGAAGTAACTTTGTTGATCTCTGTATGAGTACGGCTTTGCTGTAAGACAATGAATAAGAAAAAAAACACACTGAGTTCACTGTCACAGACCTAAATATTTGCTTTTTCTATTAAAAGTCAAGTAAAAGCCAATTTTATGCAATTTTTCTGAACGTGACATTCCTGCTGTCGCCGCCAGGCGCTCCAGGAATGTGACATGTTTTCCTTTTGGTCTTTGTTTACTTTATAAAAGGCTGTTGGGAGACCGAGGCGCGTTAATCGCCTTTGGAGGAATGCTGGATCACACACGGCCGTCCTGCGCGTAGGGGCCTTTTTGGCCCGGGGCCCGCATGGGGGATCGTGGCTCCGTGGCCGTGTGACGTTCCCGTCAGCTCAGCCAATGGGAGCCGCTCTTTAAGTGGCCCCTTACAGGCGGGTGAACTCGGCTACACAGCAGACTGCCACAGGTGTCTGCCCCCTGATTTATGGTCTACGGGCGGAGATTGACGATTAACAAGACATTCACATTTACGACCTGCGTCTGTTCATAGGTCTTTTTTTCACGCGTCGCACTAGACGGCTACACATCTGGTTTTATCATCCTCGTCTGACCCCTAAAAATAATCCCCAAGAAGTAGCCAGGTGTCGTTTACAAGGGCGTTCTGATTGAATTAAGTAGAAATTGGTCTCTTGCTCAACCCATTTCTTTCAAGTCAATCCAACCAAATTGAGCAGCAGAAAACCAAAGTCCATTCATTTGCATCTTATTGGAGCATGAGACAAACTAAAAAAACATCTGCAAGTAAATGGAAGTGAGAAATAAAGTCCATTAAAATAATATTTTACTGATCTCTCTCAACTCGGTTTGCATTTCAAGTGACTTAAAGGAGTATTGAGGAGGGTTAATCATTTTTTCTCAACAAAGAACTACAACTCGCTGCCGAAATGAGAGAAGAAGAAGTGAAGCTGAGTCCACGGAAGTAGATGGAAAGTTGTTTTTCTGATACGTGTTCAGCACATTTTGTAATGTTAACTTTGTTTTAGTTCCACACCTTTGGTCCTTTTTTTTGCATAGAATTACTCCTGATTGAGTCAACAATGGAGCATTAAGGTGTTTGAACAGGATTGTATGAGCCGATCGGCGGGTTGATGCTTTTCCAATGGCAGTGCTTAGAAACGGCAAACAAGCGACTCTACGTCTGATTCATGGGTCATGCTTGGACAAAAGGTGACACGTCGAAGTGCAAAGTGCTGCGAAGCGGAAAAGTTTCTCGTAAGAGTCTTGTAGACCTGAGCTACGGTTTTAGTCTGTGAGCGTCAATCTTGTTGTGTTGGAAATTGGAAAAAACTATTTAAGTGAGATATTTAAAAACCTGACACATCCTAACCTCCAGGAAGAAGAGTCCCTTTTCACATTTCACTGTATTCACCTAGTGTTTGTGTGCAGGTTTTAACTGGATGGTGGGAGTGTTGAGGAAGATCATCGCAGAGGCCAAAGGGGTGAAAACGGAATCGAAGATGCCTCCGCTGATCGAGTTTTTCGGGCCAGATGTCATAAAGGTTCTTTTTCTTTCAGCCACTCGACTTACTTCACCACATTCATCCCACTGCCTTTGCTACTTTACAAATAAACGTTTATTTTATGTACAAAACAAGTATACAACTAGCTGGAGTTAGTTCATTAATCCTTTGGAAACCCTCTTCATGGTTAGAGTCCCTTTTCATTTACAAACGTTTCATGCTGCTTCTGCTTGTTATGATGTTCATAACTGGGACGTATTTGTAATAATGTGGCGGTTTGCACTGTTGGACAAAACAAACGTGCAAAAATCTCCTTCTGGGTGATTGTTTCCCATGACTTTCTTCTGACAAATAGCCATTTATTATTTTGGTTGTTGGATGTCCTGCCTGCACCCGGTTACAGGAGTAATGAATGGAAACCTCATTCTTGCAGACACTAAATAAAGGCCTTACACAGAAATGCAGATGTGCTTTGCGGTCAGAGCGATGCTTGGAAACAGCACAGCTGTGCCTGCAGTCACATGTTCACGCCTCATCAATCGTGTGCTGCACTCTGCACTGTTAAATCCTGAGAAACAACATTAAGAGAAGCAACTAACCAATTGGATGATTTGTACAAACCACTCTCGGATTTGTTGCAATGTTTTCTAAGAATGAGAAAGGTTCCTCTGTGTCTGAGCAGTCCTCCGCTGCTCGGTGGCTTTTGGTCTTAACAGCAGCATATGTGTAGATCTTAATGGGTGAAGTTGACTCCACCTTTCTCCCCCTTCCTCCCCCTTCCTCCCCCGGCTGTTCCCCCCCGCAGACCGTAAATGAGGCTCCATCCCCGAGGTTATTGGGGACTCACGTGCACCCCGACAACATGCCCGCCTCCTTCCGTGCAAAGAAAACCAAGGTAAGTTATAGCAACATTTTCTTCTCATCATGTCATCAACTGTGAAAATACATGAAAGTATAAGGGAGGCTTTCAAAATGAATCCAACTAAGTTCATTCTTGTAATAAAATCCCATCGGAATGTATTTTAATTTTTGTGTTTTCTTACACTTGATTTTGTAGAAAACCAGTTCAATGCGCGGTGACATATTTTCATGTAGATTTTTGTTGTGCTACGTGTCGTGCAGATCCTGGTGATCTTCAGGAACCCCAAAGACACCGCGGTGTCCTTCTATCATTTCTCCAACAACAACCCGGTCCTCCCATCCGGCCAGTCCTGGGATGCCTTCTTCTCCGACTTCATGAGTGGAGACGGTGAGAAGAAACACGCGGGAATCCCCCCGTGTTGCATTGCACACACATCGCAGCCCTTCTTCACGATACCGCGGCTAAGTTGTGTTTATGGCCTATTAAACAGGGTCAGTGGGGGGTTCGGGATTCCTTTGAACCCAAGTGGGGCTAAAGAGGGTCGGGAGGCTCCTCAAGCCTTCATGGGGCAACAGAGGGCAGTTTGCCAGCGTGACGTCTTAAAATCCGTCCACGGACTAAAAGCAGAGAGTTCAAAGCGACATCAAATGCAAGAGTCCTGGACCGTTTCTGCAACATCACTGTGCTCTGTGTCTCCACACCTCTAACTGTGAATTACTGCCTGCAGAGATTACAGGTGTGTACAGAGGTCGACTTTATTGCTTCATACGTTTGTTATGCTGATAACATGCAGCCACGGTTCCAGAAAACCACTCCTTTCAATAGTGAGTCGTGGTGCATTTCAGATCTAGAAATGAAATAAAAGATGCCTCCAGGATAGTATTGCCTATAAAATGTATGAAATCTCAAAAACAATTACAATTGATTCATGGTGTCACTATGCTGCATTGCAATGGAATTGGGAACTTGCATTTAGCTTTGAAATGGAGACGCTCTGGATTCCGTATTGTGATCATCTACGTCCTAGATGTTTAAAAAGTGAAAGGCTTTTAGGAAACCCTGATCCAAACAACTGGGTGTACTTTGACGGTGGTGTGTGTGTGCGTGCGTGTCTGTGCGTGTAGTTCCCTGGGGCTCGTACTTCGATCAGGCTCTGGCCTGGGAGAAGAGGATGGACGACCCTGACGTCATGATTGTCACCTACGAAGAGCTAAAGGAGGTATCGTTTATATGAAAAACCATCACCACACAAAAAAGAATAAAGAATGAGTCCGCGGGGAGTTTCTGACCGTACCGGCTCCGATTCTGGTGTTGTGAAGGACCTGAGCGACGGCGTCCGTCAGATCTCCACCTTCTTTGGCTTCAGCCTGACGGAGGCTCAGGTGCAGCAGATCGCAGAGCAGAGCACCTTCAGCGCCATGAAGCAGAGCTCCTCCAACTCCCACGGCAATATGGGAAACGTCTTCTTCAGAAAAGGTATTTTACCTTTACCTTAATTTCACAAAAGTATTCAATTCACTTGCCTTCTGACTGGGATTATTTTTTCAATAAAATAACCACCTGAATCCAGCATCTAAACAGTTATAACTACAACTTTTTTAGAAATTTTAAAAATGCCAAAGATTTTGATGTTCCACTTATCATTAGCTTGAACTTCAGTTGTGCAACTACAGAATAAAAAAATAGTTATTCATACTTTTAAATCCTTTGGAAGAAGAATGAAGCTGTAAATCAGATGTTTGTGAGCAGGTGAGGTCGGGGACTGGAAGAACCACTTCACACCAAAGCAGAGCCAAGAGATGGACGACGCCTTCAACAAACACCTGGCCGGGACCAGGCTGGGAGCCAAACTCAACTACCAGCTGCATTGTAAATAGGAAGAAGAAAAGAAAGGGAAAGAGGGAGGGAAAGTATGTCGAGGAACTTGTGATTGTGAAACATTGTGGCGAGATTAGAGGGCATTATGTTACATTATGCTTGTGCTGTAATGTTGCATATTATTATTATTGTACGTGATCAGAATTATGACATGGCAATAAAAATAATTTCCACAACACCTAGTTGTACTCCACTGTGTGACTCCTTCTCAATCTCATATGTTTTCATCACACAATGAACCAAAACAGTCACACCTATCCGCTTTATATGTTTTATTCTGAAAGGGCCAACCGGATCCGCTGTTGTTATGATCCGTTGCTAACCTAGCGGCGGTCCACTGTGTGGCTGCTGAATGAATGACATCATGCAGGTTTATTTCGGTCTCCATCTGCGACGTGACACCGTCACACACTAACGGTCGGACGTGTGTTTAGAAGCCGCCGGTGCACCCGCGACAGCAGCTTCCCGTTCACCACTCCGCGACTGTTTCCCGTGAGCTAGCAAGCTAGCGTTAGCCTCAGAGCGCGCAGCCCGGGTCGCTAACCCGCTAACGACGCCAAAGACGGGTGTGATGGATTGACCTGTTACGCGGTCGTTGAATGGACGCTGAAGGTAACGTAAACCGATCGTATCGCGTTGGTTCAGTCTGCGCTCAGCTGCTCTCCGCCCGAAGCTTTTATTCATTACGGGCAAATGAACGCGTGCCGATGTGTTGCTGCGCGGTGGCACATGTCCATTGATCGCCGTCGTGGGAATGAGGTTACGTCATACACCAAATGTAAGACAATGCACACAACTGGTGCAGAAGTTTCTCGATCAGCTGATCCCACATTGAGGCATCGCGGGAGAACTCCCGTCTGCAACTTTGAATTTGTCCAGAACAGTCTGACTCTGCGCAGTGAGGATGTGCGTCCATGAGCAACTGATTCTTTCCCATTTCTTGCTAAATGTTGTGACCACTGCATTTATATAACGGTGTTTTGGTGCTTCCAGTTCAATCTGTTTTCTACTTAAACAGTTGTATTGCAATTGGTACCATTTTATTGGATTATAATCTGTAATGTTGTGTAGTTTGCTTCATTTGTTGACATTGTTATTTTCCAGATAAATCAATGAATAGTTTAGTCTGTGGATAATACAAAACGCTCCGTGGCGTTTGTTGTCATCAATCGTCCTGTTATGTCCGACCATCGGCCCAAAACCCCCAAATATTCAGCACATTCTCATATTATTCCATACATTAAGGGCCTCTGTGCTTGATGGATGACTAACACTGTAACTCGAGCATCAATATATTTGGTAATTATATTTTTCTTTACGGTACAGCGCAAGAAAATATGTTCAAATGACTTCTCAGCCCAAACGACAGTGAAAAACTCAAATTACATTACAGGTCATTTAGCAGACGCTTTTATCCAAAGCGACTTACATTACACTTTAAACCAGTGGCTTTTTGACATTTTTGCCCGGGGAGCAATTAGGGGTTAGGTGTCTTGCTCAGGGACACTTCGACATGGAACATGGGGCAGCCTGGAATCGAACCAACAGCCTTGTGCTTCCCGCTATGAATGAATGAATAACTAATTGCTTAGTTTACTGATGAGTTTCTTCTGTTTTCTCGGCTGCAGAGTAATGCAGCAGAAGGTGTGCTCCAGAGGTTCCGGCTCTTCCCTCTCGGAGAGCAACGAGCAGCCGTGCTGCACCTCCGCCCGCTGCGACCTCCCCTTCCGCTGCCCCCGCTGCGGCGACGCGGAGCGCTTCCGCAGCCTGGCCTCGCTCCGCGCCCACCTGGAGTACCGCCACTCCTACCGCTCGCCGGACGTGACCTCCAGCAGCGGCTTCAGCATCACCGGCAAGCTCCCCGACCCGCTGACGGCGGCCATCCCCTGGCAGGACGCCAGCCTGCCGACGCGGAGGGGGGCGCAGGGCGCGTGGCGGCCGCCCAACGTGCGCTCCCTCAGCGACAGCAGGGACAGCGGGTACCCCCACTCCTACGGCTCGGCGAGGAGACGCACCCAGAGCGTCGGGGTGGGGACGCAAGTCGAGGACGACGACGAGGAGGAGGAGGAGGACGACGACGACGATGACAATGAAGAGGAATTTGGGTCAGAAGATGAAGACGAGGACGAGGACGACGAAAGGGAAGAGAGAGATGGACGTAGAAATGAGGAGGAAATAACAATGTCCTCGAAAAAGTCAGACACGTGCCATCATCACCTCAACCACCACCGCCACCTGCCGTTCCCTCCTTCGGCACCACTCGGCCGCCCGCCGGACCCGGACCTGGACGTAGACCTGGACCTGGTCGGTGCGTTCTGGTTTACTTTCTTTCTCTACTCAGAAATGTACGTTGGCTGCTTCAGAGACATCATCACGAGGAAGCAGGACTTGTTAAAGTGAAGTAAATGCTTTTCATGCATGCAATCAGAAGAAGTAGGTCCATCTCTGCCTGTGTTTCCCGCACATTGTGGATTATTATTACCACGTTGTATCAGGCGGCACGTCCTCTAACGCGTCTCCTTTACTGTCGCCATCAGAGCAGAGCTCGTACTCCGGCTTCGAGGCGGCGGCGGCGGTGCGGCGGCGGCTGGCCCGCATCCTGCGGGCGGCCGACAGCACCATGCAGCGCCGGCTGGCCGCGGTGAGCACGGAGCTCGCGCAGACCGACACGGAGCTCCTGTGCGAGCGCGCCCACTCGCAGCACCTGGCCCAGGAGAGGCAAGAGGTGGCGGACCGGGAGAGGTCGCTGAGCCGGCAGGTGGACGTGGCCGTCATGGTGATCGCCGCGCTGAGGGAGCAGCTCAACGCCTCGGAGAACGAGCTGGAGCGGCGAGAGAGGTGAGCGCCGCCGCGGTTATTTAGTAGTGAGGCGAGCCGCTCACCTGCTGGAGGGCTGCGCTTACATGGGTCTTGGTTCGTCTGCCAGGGAGGTGATAACCATCCAGAAGTTTTTGGAGGCGGCGGCTCGGCAGGAGACGAGCGGGAAAGTTCGCATCCAGCACTTCATCGAGGATCTGCTGAGACGCATCGCCCTGGCCGAGGAACTGGTGGAGTATTACCAGGTCAACGGCAGCCCGCAGCAGTGCAACCACTACAAGGTGCAACGAGGAGGCCGCAGTGTCCCTCATCACAGCTCGAGTCTGGCTTTCTGTGGGATAACGTTTACCTCCTACATGCATGGTTACTGCATAAAATGCATGCAGATGCATTATTACTGATTAAGAAAAAATATAATTGGTGGTAAACTGCTGTACTTCAATCAGATCCAACAATAAAATGCTGACAATAATAAAATAATCCATACTAAAGGTAACAGATAACATTGACGGGGTGAGATTAGCACTAACACTGAATTCATCCTGAACCTGAAGCTAGTTTCTGCTGGTTTGGTTTATGATCAGCGACTGCTGTCGAGTGAAACGTAACCTTTGACTTTTTTTTTTGTCTCCCCTACAGTACCAGCAGCCAACAGATAATGGACCTCAGAGAATCACTAAAAGCAGGTCAGTACCTCCACATTGATTCGTCCGATGTTCTGTAACAGTTCTAAAACATGAAATCTTGTAACACTGAGATCAGTTTAAACGTGTTATGAGATACATTTTGCATTCAGTCTCTATCAAATATCTATTTTGTGTTTTGCCTCCATTGAAATCGAGCCAAGCCAACATTTTCAAGTGTAAACTCCTCCACAGTGAATGTTCTGGTGTTGGGAGACTAGAGGGTCCAAATATAACTCCTTATTATGAACTCATAGGGATTCACTTTGTCTTCCAGCGAGCAGCAGATCAGTTTGATTTCCTTTCAAACACTAAAATGAAATGGGTTATCTCTGGACAAATTTAGCATTGAGGAATCTATTTTGGTTCCTCCAGCTGGTTCGTTTTAGATTCATCCCTCACCACTCGCTTCACACAAGACATTTGCCTGCACGAGTTTTACTTTTGTTTGAAGAAACCTGCTTTGAGGCCAGAAAAAATAATAGTTGTTCCAGTGGGCCGTAAAAACGTTGATTAGTTCCTCCTCTAACGGTGCAGATAAACTGCTGCGGATGTATTTCTGAATCAAAGCCAACAGCTGAAAATCCTTCATGAGGACGCTCGCGTCGTCCGTCACGTGACATTTAAGCTGCTGGAAGTACGAAAGTGTGTCGGTTCGCCTGCAATGAAAGCAGATTAAATCACTCTCATAAAATGTTCTCACCTGAGTTATTTTGTCTTCGTGTCTCTATTGTAGAGATGTGATAATACAGACATGAAAAGCTTTGCTTGTTTACGTTCATCACAACCGTCCCCACCTCGTTTCCAGGTCGGCGGGAGGTCAGCTGTCCTCCTCCGGTCTCCACGACAACAGGAGCCGCTCCTCCTCGCAGTTCGGCAGCCGTCCTCCGTCCTGCAAAGCGGGCGGCGGGGAGCGGGAGCGCGAGCGGGAGCGCCGCGAGCGTCTGGCCCAGTCGTCCAGGCTGTTCTGCCGACCCGAACACCGGGACGACATCTGGAACCACCAGCGGCGCCGGTCGGCCGGGTACGAGGCGTAGAACTCAAGAATCACCAGGGGGAGACGGCCGGTCGGCGAGTAAAAAAATGTCAATAAAAAAAAAAAAAAAAAAGAGGCGGGCGGTTATTCCAGTGTGTTAATCTGTGGAAAAGTACAGAAAGGTCACATTCACGTCGAGTGGTCAGTTTATTTATCTGCTTCTTTTTAAAACATCTCCTTGCTGAATGTTATTCGTTCTGTACTGATGCACGCAGCTCTTAATGCTTTATTAACACTGACCTGTTTTGGCTAACGTCTCTAAACTCGCTATGATCTTCTTCTTTTTTTTAAAATATATATAATTTTCTTAATTATAAACTTTTATAAACCCAATTTGTTTAGTAAAAGTCTTTTATAGTCAAATAATAAGAAACTAAGGAGTAATATTACACTTTAGTGTGAATGTCAGCAGCTTTATTTCGGCATTCTGATCCTGAGTGAGAGAATTCACACAAAACTCTGTTCACAGTAACGACCACTGCAGACAGGGTGACGTATGCAATGCATAACTACTATTACTGCACGACCACGTATTCAAGTACACAACACTATATCATGAGAATATTCTACTTCCAGCACTCTGTTGTTGAATACTTTGTACTTTTCCACAGATTATGATACTAAAATATGTTGCACTGGGTTTCAGCGGGTTGTGAGTGTGGTTTAACATTACGCATAGATTGATGACCGTTTGTAGATTTTTGTATTATTTGTCAGCACAAATCACAGTGTCCATTGCAGTGTAAAACTTCAGGTAAAAATATGCTTGTCGTTAGATTTTGTAGAAGCTCTGTGTGATGTTGACGACATGTTTATGTCCCGGTTCTCCCCCCCGCCAAAAAAAACACTTATCTGACCTCCGTCCGTGCTCGTGAGGCCAAACGGTCTTGGTTGTCGAGCTCCACGTGTCAAAGCCGTGCACACGGCGCAAAGGAGAAGCTGGTTTTATACAGAACTCGGATGGAGCATAAGCTCACGCATTAGATTTAACAGTGTCGTGTAACATTAAATGCTACTGTTAGCAGGTCGGCTAGCTCGCGGCCCACAGTTCTAACCGACCGCCGAGGTGATTCTGAGGCTTTCCGCACGTATTTCTCCACTGAGTGGAAGACCGGCGCTGCATCTTGTCTTGGTTTGTGCGCTCTGTTGCATTTTGGGATAACTGTTAAAAGGGAAAACACTTAAGTGGACAGGTTTGTTTTTTAAACTTTCAGCTTCAGCCTTTCGGCCTCTCATTTGGTTTGTGAAGCACAGACAGGAGTTGACACCAGATTCGGGTCAATAAACTGCATTTAATTCTCTGCTTTGGTTTTTAGAAAGTGTCAAATGGTAAATGGACGTACGTGAGGAGTCTGATGACTGAACATAGAGGCATGATGGGTTTCTTTCTTTCGTTTAAAGTCCAAATCGCACCCATCAACCCGTTTAGGATTTGTAGAATATTCCAGCTTCCTTTAAAGGAATCTGTTTTGTTAAAGGTTTGCCGTCTTTGCCAGAGTAACCTACAGAGACGGATATCGGTTTGATCTCAGTGTGTCCGCTATGCGTTAGCCTAGCTTAGCACAAAGACTGAAGGTGAAACGTTTAGAGGATTCCGTAGGAACCAATGGGCTTGGAGGAGAACACGCCACACACATAACGAATGTAACGTTACCGTTTAACTACCACTGAAGAGATTTAAAGTCGCCCTCATTCCCACAGAAACGGGTGGAGATCCTCCGATCACAAATGAAGGACGTCGTATCAACGCTTTCATCCAAAGTGACTTCCAGTGCCACGAACAGTTAATTGCAGTAAACTACGAGGCTCTCGTGCGACGGGTCCTTCTGTGCGGTCCGTTTACACCTCGTTTTTTGCACTCATCCAGTGAGAAGAATGTAAACTTCAAAGACGGTATTCGGTGTCTTCGCTGTCGTTGGTTTAGGTTTCGTTGGCCGTGTTGGTGGATATTTTGTATACAAAGCTATAATGTGTCGTCAAGTGGAAGTAGTAGTCCTACAGTACTTTGACCCGCTAGAACTGTTCTCTGGGTCTCAAACACAAACCGCGTTTCTTTTTTCTGGTCTATAAAGGGGTCAATATTCCTGAGATTACATCCGGTAAATTCCTCACGATGAAGAATTCTTGTCTTATTTTATTAGACTGATGTATTGAAGTTTCAGTGATGCCTGATATCATACATTCGTCTAAATGTGTGTAGATTAATCCAGAGATCCGTCGTGTGATCAGAGTCTGAGTCTTTTAGCACTTTGTGAATGTGTTCCTGCTGCTGTCAATTAAAAAAAAAAAAAAGAGTCATGTAGCAAACCTGCGTTCCCTGCATGCGTCGTAGAGAAACCCGCCTTCTCCAGCAGGAATCCTCCAGAGGAAACCAGCTTCCTCACATCCAGACAGCAGACCGGCTGTGACCTCCGCTGGTCGAATAGTAAAACCTTCAATGATTGTGACTGTTTTTTTTTCAATGCAAACAGCAGCAGAACTCTAGAGAGGTGTGTGTGTGTGTGTGTGTGTGTGTGTGTGAACGTGTGTGTGTGTGCGCGCGGTGCTTTAAGATCGTACTGATTTATGTTGTGTCAAATTGTTGGTGGAAGATGCATGAGGCAGCACTACTACTACTACTACTACTACATATGTGGCTGTTGTGTAACTGTGAAAGCATGCTTCATATGTAGCAAAAAAAGCAAAGTACTTATACTGTTATCATGTACTACTGTGTGTACTTTTGTAGCAGAGCGAGGTCTATTTTAACGGTGCCGTATTCGAAGGACAGTTGCACTAAACCGACAGCGAGCACGTTGGACTGTGTGTGACGGGGACGTGTTGTAAAGAGGACAATCAGCAGGGTTCATGCACACGAGGGGAAAAGTTCTTCCTTGTACTTGTGTGTTTTGGGATGTTTTTAGGAAAGTGTGCTCTGAAATGGAGAGAAACATAAACCGAACCAGTATATTAGGACTGCGGTGTTTGTTAGTTGGATTAGGACACTACTACCTTTGTTGTCGGTAGAGATTAAAGTTTTCTGTTGTTGTAATAAAGTGCCCCCCCCCCCCCCTTCTCCCCCTGGTGGATATCCTTCAGTTTCTCATGTCTGGTCGTAGGGATTTTCTTTTGCAGAAGTGATCTCTCGTTTTGTGCCTTCACTGAAATTGTCTGTGTGACAGTTTAAAATGCGATACTGTGAAGAACTGGGATACTTTTTTATGTTGGAAATTCGTCCGTCTGTCTCGTAACCATCGACGATTAAAGAACAAACGTGGCACCGAGTTTCCCACTGTGTTTGTTTTCGGGGGTTTTTCCACGTATTGTGAAATGTAATGCCCCCCCCCCCAACAGGATGCACCCGCAGGTCAGCGCCTAAATGTCCTCAGTGGGACCGCAGTGCTCACAGATGGCCACTTGATGTCTCCGTCCCGCTGACGGAGGCTCTGCACCCCGCTCACACACGATGAACTCCATCACTGCGACGTGTTGAAGAGGAAGCGGCCGCGGCTCAAGCCGCTCTCTCTCTCTCCTCCTGTTGAGCAGCTATTGATGTAACTTTTCATCATGCTGTCTGATAATGTGCTCCGGTATCCCTGTAGAGAATGTCAGGAATGTGTATTACGGGGAGTGAGGTCTTTTATTTTGGTAAAAAGCAAAGAAACACACAACCCGCATGATGGTGATGACAATCTCTCTGCTGGCTGTTTTTTACCATCAGCTTATAATATGACACACGTGTAGGTTTGATTCAGAGTGGTTAGATTTATTGTAATTAATGTGGGTATATTCAACATTATAGCACGTAAGGACCGAAATGGTAACTAACTGCAAGATGGGAAAAATGTGGTATTTTTAACTGTAAAAATCAGAGCTCATCAAATTGATATTGAAGTTAAATAAAAAAATAAACTGATGGATTATGTAACATTTCTGATAATTGGAGAAATCAGGGTTTTTGGATTCATCCTCTTAGAGACATTTCTAATCTACTGTATTTCCACTTGTATTCCTCGTGCTTTTAGTCAGCTCGGCCAGCAAATAGTTAAATGTTCCTGATTTTCAAACGCATGCATGTTTTCATTTGCTGTTTCTTTTTGGGCCTCTTTCATCGGGGCCTCTGTGCATTGGGACAAACGTAGCGGCGAGGGTGGAAATCAGGAATCTGAAATGCCTCGTCGTGTTGTGCAGCAGCGAGTCAATAAATACTGCCGGCTGCTGTTGATCTTTCATGGAGAGAGTCAGCGCGATAACGCGGCGCCTTGACGTCACGCAGCGCTCTCGGCCCCCGCGCTTTGACGTCGGACAATCTCTGCAGAGCACACTGTTTTTCTGGAACAGTCACGCAGCCGTATCAGCGCGAGCATCTACAGATTGTCGCCCCTGCGCAGGCCCGGGCCGCCGTCCGAGGCCATGTGGGCCGCAGATAACAGGTTTCTGCAGGCAGAGACACAACAGCTGACGTGGAAACCACACACGGGGCCGAGGCGTCGTGGTCGTATGTGGAAGGAGATTATGCATAGAGCTTGTTTTTTAATCCAAAAACAACAACAGGAGCAGTTTGTGTGAGAATTTTCTGTTCTACATTTGATTTTATACGTCAAAGGCATGAATTCTGGCGCGATTAACGGCCCAACTGTGGTGAGTTTTTTTGTGGGATGAGCTCCGCGTCCAGAGTACCTCTCCGGGGTCACACTGGATGTCGGGAGCTGCATGTGAAGCTCCCCTGTGGGACTCTCGGTTCTCCGGATCCAGTTTCCTGTCTATACCCTGCGGACCAGAGCCTCTGTCACAAAACACATTTGGATCCACTCAAGTTGAAGTGTCTGAGGGACAACGGCACGCAAACCCCCGAGTAGCCTCGTTGAGATTCCAGCGCCACGTGATCGGGAGAATCTCGTCTGTGAGGCTGATGGATGATCTGAACCGTCTCTATGAAGATCACGGTTACAAGGATCCTCTTTACCTCGGTCGCCCCGAGGCCGTGAAACCAGTTTTTATATTTATCACATCAGCTAATCATTGTGCGCTGCATTCAAAAGGTTTTGTGGCTAATTGTTGATGATTTGTTAGATGCAGGAAGTTCTTTTTGAGTGGAAGAAGGAGAGAGGTGTGTTTTAATGCGATCAATCAATCCTTATTTCTCGCGGTCTCTTTTTTTTTTTCATGCGACTGGGGCGAGATGCTGTGAATCTTTATTTTATTAAACGGCTACCGACCTCACGTCTGCAGGCCAATGGGAAGACAGCAGGGTCCTCGGTGCTGACATGCATCACTTAAGTATTAAAGGAGAAGGATTTACTGTTGCCTTTTAAACTCAGTTTTTACCAGCCGACGAGGCGAACCTTCCCACGCTCGGCTCGGTCCGATGGGGCGTCGCCGCAACTCGAATCCTTCTGTTCGGCCTGGAGTCTTTTTGACAATAAGCACGTAAATCTGAGGTCGATTTGAGCAGCTTAGCTCGGATGATGCGGTGAGTAAATGTTTGTCGCACGTAAACACATTTGTTCAGAGTTCCATGACGGACACTAAACGGGAAGAGTTTGATTGACGGATGGATCTTACAATCACCTGCAACGCATCTTTTTATCTTGAGATGTTGATGAAAAAACCAACCGCGTGGCGCTAACAACAGATGTGTACTCCAGATGTTGATCTGAGAGAAGCTCTCCTCCTTCGGCAGATAAATGGGGGAAAGAAACGGTCCAGGCGTTTCTGTGTGGAGGAACGAGGAAAAAAACTAGAAAAGGTTAAAAAGCCATGTCCAAAAAGAAAATCCAGGCCCACGTGAGCACAGTTAGGCCTTGGAGTTCAATCACATGCTCGCTAATACAGTCCAGTGGGCCTCCAACAAGTGGTCAATGTGCACATTCTTTCTCTGCAGTGAAAAGCTAGAAACCAAGCAGATGAACCACTGGAAGTCCCTTCTGTATGGATTTTGTCCCCCATCACCTACCTCGCTGACAGCCGGCAACGCCGGTTTGTGATGTTGTTATGGGAACGTGACTTTTGTGTTTAACACAGAGTTGACATCAAAGTGACATTGAGACTACTTACATGATAGCAAACCTCGAAAAGAGTCTTCAGTTTACACACAACAACATACACAGCTTCTGCTGTTTACTGTTGTGTTATAAATATACACGGCGCTGTGTGTCTGTGTGTGTGTGTGTGTGTTTTGTTTGGCCCGACAGCCTGTTGCTGCGCAATAATTCATCCTGTTTATTTAATTTGGAGGACGTCCTGCACAGGGCTTCCTCAGTTTGGCTCCACATCGGGTCTAAAAACGTCCGAGGCCTGAATCACGCCGTCTATTTTCAGCCCGCCTTCACTTCCCACCCAAAAAACCCCCGACTTGATGCTTCGAGGAGAACCGCACGACACGCGCAGACTGCACAACAACCCAAACACACACACACACTCGCACACACACACACTCACAAGGCCCCGGGGTCACATTGTGAGTAGGTGGGTGTCAAAACCGATCGGGCTGAAAACTGTGGAGCTGAAGGGGAAGTGAGGAGGTGAGCTGAGCGGGTGACAGAGACAGTCCGTGTCCTCACGATCACTTAAATTCATTTAAATTATATTTGCATCATTATGTGTGCACGTTGTAGCTGTAAATAATGGATTGTCAGGTTAAAATAGTTTTAGTTAATCTCTGGAAGATTGCTACAACGACACATAATACCTGCACCAAGAGTTTAAGTTTGCAACCGTAATCAGATTGCCGTCGCCAATTTTATAAACCGTATCACTGGATTAGTTCCAACGTTTGGCAGAATCGTCCAATACACTGGGGACAAACGCACAATCTGATGACTTTGACCACCGGGTTTAATTGTGTCCACGTCACACCAGTTCTCAAATAAATCAAAAGTAGGCCGACAAATTCCCCCAAACAAATCTGTTTTATAGGTTGATTTTCCATGAAGTAGGCGGCCATCTCTCTCTTTTTATGAGCGTGTGTGTGGGTGGGTGTTTCCCAGCAGAAAGATGTCCAAATAAACGGCCTACGTCTTTATATTGAAATGCCAAACACGGATGCCACAACAAGTGAGTCACGCTCACATAGATGAGTCATTGTTCATCTTGTGGGGACATAAGTGTGGTTCTGTTCCTCAAGGATGCAAAAATGTTAGTGTTTTATTATACTGAACTTTCAGTTGAATTAGTGTTGGATAAGCAGCCAAGCGACCTTTCGACCTCAAACAGCTGGAGAGTTTCAGGCCAAAAACTGATGGACAAAGAAGAACATACACTTCTGGGTGGTATTATTTTAAACATTTAATTTAATGTGTGTTCTATTGCATAATGATATATCTTATAGTACTGGATGAGAATTGTTGATAAATTGATGTGTATCTTTTTTAATGAAAGCTCTTGTTGAGCTTCAGATGTTCACATTTGTGTTGGTTTATTTTGTGTTAATACAGCTGAGAAAAAAGTAATCTATCCCACCGCAGACAACCGGTTTGTAATACAAAAAATCTATGAATACGGCGACACCTTCACAAGTAGAACCATGATGCTCAAAGTGGAGTAAAATGGTAAAAAGCAGGGGAGAGGGCGTGACCCGCCCCTCGCCTCTGATTGGTTAGTGGTCATTGCCGTTAGTCGGTTGAGCCAATCACAGGTTGCCTTGCCTTCTCCACCCACGGAACTGAGCCTGGTGCGGACGTGTGTGACAGTTATTCAAAAATGGCCTTGAAGTCGATATGACTGAAGGTTGACTGAGTCGAATTCTGACAGAAAATCACGCGCACGGATACATGTCTCCATATATTCCGTTTGAGTCGTTTTTCTCAATTGTCAACAAACGAAGGAAACGCGGATGAGCCGCCACATTAAAGGGAATAAATCGGACTGTGGGCGATGGAAGCGTCTGGCTGAGCAGAGAGAAGGACACAGAGCCGAGGTCTCCCTCCGTCACCATTTTACACTTTCATATCGTGGTTATAAAAGTGTGAAGCCTCTGTTGGCGAATTACTTAGGTAACATATTGTATTTCTTTGCTCGATGCAATTGAGTTGTTTTGTTTTGTTTAAGTTTATTGATGAAAATCGTTCCATCAAAATGCTATATGAAGAATTCCCGCTGAGTGAGCCATCCGACTAATAGACGATCTTTGTCACTAGCTAACGAGCTACCGCTAACCGTGGCAACAAGTGGACACCGCGCCGTTCCTCGCTCCGGTATGATGCCAGGCGAAAGCAACATGACCTCCATCGTGCACAAAATCGCCCGGCAGGCACTCGTCACCTTCAGGAGCCCGCCTCGGGTCGGCGAGGAGGCCGCGAAGTCCTTCCTGGAGAACCAGAGCAAGCTGAAGAGTCTGATGACGGAAGTGCGCGCGGCGGACCTGAAGCTAGCGCCGCGGCGGGGCGGCGGCGACGACAGCCCGCCCGCCGCGTCCCCCGCGCTCCCCTACCAGCACGCCGGGCCGCCGGTCACCTACATGCACATCTGCGAGACGGACCAGTTCAGCATGGGGGTGTTCCTGCTGAAGAGCGGCGCCTCCATCCCGCTGCACGACCACCCGGGGATGCACGGCATGCTGAAAGTCATGTACGGCAAGGTCAGGATCAGCTGCTTCGACCGGGCGGAGCGACCCGCCGGCGGCCCGCAGGAGGCGCCCCCGCCGCCCCCGGCCCCGCCGGGCGCTCTGCTGCGCTCCGTGCTGCGCTCCTCCGAGGAGTACACTGAGGAGAGCGGCCCGTGCGTCCTCTCGCCCGACCGGGACAACCTGCACCGGATCGACGCCGTGGACGGCCCCACGGCGTTCATGGACATCCTGGCCCCGCCGTACGACCCGGACGACGGCAGAGACTGTCACTACTACAAGGTCCTGACGGAGGCGGAGGACACGGAGCAGAAGGAGAAGGAGGTCTGGCTCGTGGAGATCTCGCAGCCGCCGGGCTTCTGGTGCGGAGGGGAGCCGTACCCGGGCCCGGAGGTGTGCCTCTGATCTGTGGCCGACCTGACGATTCATCCACGTGAAGACTTTGTGATCCGTTCCCGAAGAGAAGCCACAGCACACGACACAGGTGACCTCATTGTTAGGTGGTGCAAACAGGGCGATCCTGAGGTGAAATATAAGGACTTGAGTTTCCGTTTTAATTTTAGCCCACATGACATTGGAGGCTGAGGCTTTGCTAAAACAACAACCTGCTCTACTGTGATCCCCTCTGTGTGTCTGTTGAGCAGCAAAGAAACACCTTTCATGTATTTCTTTCACACCCAAAAAGAAACCACAACCAATGGGTTGGTGATGCATTTGCTTCTACTTCCTAATTCTCCGATGTTGTGAAAGTTTGACACCGTGATCTCTAAAATATGTTGGATGAAACATGAGAAGACATTTGATGAGTTGCCGCTGTAAGAAAGGAGCAAGGACCTGGTGTTGAGGTCATGTGGTGCTTTGCAACTGAAGGCCTGTATATCTCCCCCCAAAAAACTTGATTTAGCTTAATTAAAGGTGGTTTTGTTGTGTGAACCATTGTTAATCAGATGAAGGGTAGAGGTGTTAAAAAAAGCACCATAATTGGAGCCACAATCACTGCTAAAATAGACCCTTTGAAATATTTTTGCAGAAGAAATGCCAAATTGATGATGATGATGCTGCATTCAAGTGCATGCAGGAAGTCTACGGCTTGCATGCAGGTCGAATGAGAAGGCTTCATGGTCACGTTGTGCATTCAATCCTCTTTTTCTCACCTTTCAAATACACAACATGTCAGCTTTTAGTATTGCATGAAGTTCCCCCTTTAGAGCTAGAGTATTTATTTACAATGTGGCGTCACACTAACGGTGGCTGTCCGTTGCATGAGGGATGCAATGCTCCACCAGTGAAACCATGAATGCTCGAGTTATAATCCAGGCTTCTGACTGCAGCACTGAAAGTAAGTGTCCCAAGTCGAGCAGAGTTGAGTCTCCTCTGTGGAATTTGCCCCCGAGACCAAAGAGGGACTTGTGTCCGTGTCTTTCTGAGCGTCTTCCCGCTTCAGGCTGCGTGGCGTTTAGTTCCAGTCGGATTAACCTGAATCTTCAGGTGTCTTTCTGAAGACTGTTATGTTTAAAACTGTGGGCTTTTTGTTTTGTTTGGTTGGATCTTGATCTGTTCAGTCATTTGTTTAGCTGGCTGGTTTTCAGGAGACCGTTTTGAAGGATCGGTACGAAGCTTCTCAGCACAAAGTGTGACGTTGGTTACCACGAAAAAGAGAGCTTTTCACTATTTGGCCCCAGTGTAAAATAAAAAAAAAAGATGTCAGCATGATTACAATTTCCATGAATGAGGAATGCAAGGTGAAAGTGAGGGTTTGGGTTCCTGGTGTTCCAAGATTTCCAGCTCAGCAGCAAAGAAATGAAGCTTAAAGTAACGACGTGGTTCAATGTAAAGGTTTTGTTCAATAATAAATGATGCTTATATATGGTGGCAAAGCTCTTGCAGAACAACTCAAATCTCTGTTTAAAAATGGGACCGTTTGGACATTTTGGATTAGTTGGATTAACGGCTTCATAATCTGATGGGGGGGAAAAAAGTATGTTTCTGCAATGTTTCGATTTGAGAGCTGTGAGCGAGCGTCGTATAGCGTGCTATATGTTGTATCACTGTGGGAATAAAGGCTGTAGGCGACAAGTCTAATTGGCTGATGTTTCATCCACTGAAGCCTGTCCGGAATCTAATGTGCGCTAAACGATCAGCAACTGAATCCATTTATTTTGCCTCCGGCGAAAGTTTTCTGTCTATTTGTATGAAATGTGATTAAAGAAAGCAAACAACCATGACCGTTTAAATACATTTCATTTTGATTCAACGTGTTTTGGTGACGTTGCCTGTTCCGCATTGAATAAAGTTGTTGATGGTTTTTTTTAATAAAATGTAATTTTCAAACTAGAGCTCTTCTTTAGCAGGTTACTGAAGCTGACTGGAGGTCAAATCTGTGTCTATATTGGGAGTTTCAGATGGAAAGATTGTCTTGATGTTAAAAAAAAAATAGTATATGGATGTTTAGTTTCCAAATGTGTTGGTAACAAGAACATCTCAACCGGTTCCACAGCAGAGAGATGAGTTTCCAACATTCAGGAGAGAACAGAAGCAACTGTAGATGAAGTTGAACATCTACAACTCACGACAAGTTGGCCTGCGGTGTGAACAAAAGCTCCAGAAGAACCTCCGACTAGACGTTCATGACAATACAAAGAAGGAACACACGACAACGACTCGACAAGGCAACGTTTATTCGCATTGACAAGAAGCGTCGGTCCAGCAGAACAAAAGCTTTAGTGCTCGACTTGTTTGCATAAAAAGGATAAAACACAGAAACACAACTTTTCCAGTTACTCTCTTCATCAGCAGGTTGCAAATACTAATAAGCACAAAGAAATGGATTATCAGACTTCAACATGTCCCGTAAACCAATGTCCACTCTTCATCAGATGTCATTGTTTAATATACAAAATACAGGTTAAAAAACAACTTCATTCTGCTGCAATGAACAGTCCTGATTTGTGCCCTCACGCTATTTCTTGGGTTTACTCTCAAACGTCTCAAATGGTCAAGTTCCCTCGTTTCTGTACACCGACAAGCACACGTATCTTTAAAGGGGCTAAATTTGACATTCAGAACATTTCTCACACCTGCGCGCGGCGCTGAGCCGGCGGCCCGCAGCTAACAGCGCTGATGTACCAGTGAGACGGACCCTCACGCACAAACATGCACTAAAGGGCATAAAATCCCAGAGAAGCTCGGACAGGAACACACTCGCCGTTTGCTGCTATGCTCTGAATGTCACATAGAGATCCTTTAAATAATGTGCACCAGGCACACTCACACATTGAATGCATTTTACGTTTGTTCCTGTGTTACATCAACCTTCCAACACTTTGCATTGTGACAGATTAGCAAAAGTAAAATAGTCAGTTTGGATAAATAAGTGATCATAGTTATTTAGTACCATCACAACGTTACACAGTGTATAGCGTGCATGTAAACCCTGCAGGACAACTGTAACAAGAGAAAATACTTGTGGTGAAACTACACGTGTTTTGATTTTAGGAGAAGATTGTTGAACAGCTGCTCAGCTGACCTGCAGCATTTGTTCTCACGTTTGCAGCATGTGAATGAATCCCTGAGAATATGAAGCCAACAGACAGACAGCACAAGGCCACAGGGCAGTAAAGAAAGCAGCGTTTTCCAAAAAACGACACCCACTGTGTTCATTTTAAATGCAAATCAAACTCCATTTACAATTTAACGCCACAATGTCAACTGTGTTCGTGTGTGCAGGTTCTCTGTTACTCTGACTGGTGAGGAGTTATGTTTTAGTTAATAATGCGATAAATAACGACAGCATGGCCCCAACACGTCACCGCTGTTCCCTGAAATGCTTCCAACCAGATTCCCTTTGAGCATGAACTGATCTGATCCTCTGGTAATGTTCGGATTTAGCAGCCTCGAGGCGCGCGCGCGACGCCGATTAGGAGGCCGAGGCCTTTTTCTCCTTCTGCCGCAGGTGAATCTTCATGTGGCGCCTCCTCTCGTCACTGCGGGCGAACTTCCTCCCGCACTGGTCGCAGGAGAAGGGTTTCTCCCCGGTGTGCGTGCGGATGTGGGTGGTGAGGTGGTCGCTGCGGCTGAAGTTCCTCATGCAGATGCGGCACTGGAATGGCTTGTGGCCCGTGTGGATGCGCAGGTGTCGGCTCAGCTCGTCCGACCTGGAGAACCTGCGGTCGCAGCTCTCCGCCGGGCACGGGTACGGCCTCTGGTGGACCGGCGTCTTGCTCGGCCGGTTCGGGTACTTCCTGGGTCTCAGGATCGGCCTTAAGGGGAGGCTTTGGTGGCTGGGGAAGGCGGCGGCCATCGGACCTTCGGCCGCGGCTGAGGGCGCACCGAGCGTAAAGTTCCGGATGGTGTTGAGAGGAGTAAGAGGCGGGGGCACCCTGAGGGAGTCCAGCGAGTACGCGAGGGATTTCCTCTCCGGGAAAGCCGCCTGGATGTCTCTCTGGCAGCTCTGCTGGTAGAAGCCTCCGTACTCGGGCATGATAGACAGCAGTGCGCCGCCGTCCACCGTTGGTTTAGGTGGAGGGTTGTAGGTTGGAGGCGGGTGGTAGGACACAGAGCAGGTGGATGCCGACAGGTACCCCCCCGCCGACTGGTCCTGGTACATGTCCCCGCTGCAGGAGTAGGAAGGGGCGGGGTGGGGGTGCGGGTGAGGGTGAGGATGATGGTGCGGGGGCGCGTACATGTGGCTGATGTCGGGATGGCCGTGCGCCATGGTACAGTCCCCAGCTTCCGCTGTGTCTCCTCCTCCTCCCTCTCCTCCTCCTCCTCCACCTCCTCTTGCGCAAATCTCTGGTGATCCTGAACACGATCCCGACACCGGGACGGCGATGTCAGCGCTGATCACGTTGATGATGTCCCTGGGTGTCCACGGTCCTCCCGCGCCTCTGGAATCCACGGAGATCTTGCCAGTAAACGCCACAGGTTGCGTGCGTAATGTGGCCACGTACTGCGCAAAGTCGCCGTGGTAAGGCAGCTCAGGGACACTCTTCCCCTCGAACAGAAAGCCACCTAAAATATGTGGAAAAGTACACTTGGTTAGACTGCAACTAAACGGGAATATCATCTAATATCACGGCTGTCGTATCCGCGCAACACGCCACCTCTATTTGTTTAAACATTTTGGAGCAATTGAAATCAGAGCGTTGTGCGTTCAGCCAGACTTCCATCCAAACACCTCAGGACACAAATTACACGCATTCTTACCGCTGTCATCCTCTTCTTCTCCCACGGCCTCTTCCTTAAAAACAACGGACCCCTCCGCCGAGTACACATCTTTAGGGATGCTCTCCACAAACCCGCTGAGGGACGCGAACACTTCATTCGCCAGTTTAGCGGTCATCCCGAAGATCCAGCGGCTCAGATCAATCACAGGATATTATTTCAATCCGATTTGCTCTCCAACATTTTGTTTGTTCATCCCCTCGTCTCTTGAAAAACAGCTCCTGAATGGTGCAGTGTGGTTATAAAGGGGAACGCTGGGTGTCCCCGCGCGTCATTCACCAAGTATGGACTTGGGTTTGAGAAAAAAAACAGAAAGGACGAACTCCAGAAATAGGACTTGGAGCTCTGCGTGATAAAAACGTGCAGGCGATTAAAACGACATGTTAAAGTTTAACTAAGTAAAGGAAAAAAACATGTGTGGATTTTATCTCAATGTGCATTATAAACATCAGCACACGCTTCGTGCCGCCCTCGGACCCATGTAAAGGTAGACCCCCCCCCCCCCCCCCCCCCCTCCTACTCTTCACAATTGAAACCGGGTCCTTTCTTTCCCTAAATTGAATCCCCCGGACCATGAAAAGAGCTCTGGGTGGAAATCCGGCGCTGGACTTGAGGAAAATTGACTTGATCTAATTTTTTCTCATGCCCAGAGGGAGGCGCTGAGCTGAATTGCCATGCGGCATACTGTCTTTGTTTTCCACCACAATTTGCAACTAATTATCTGTGTCAGTGTTTTTTGCCGCAGCTAATTCGAGGTAATTTCAAGGTAATACTCCTGTCCGCCCCGCATGCATAGTGGTTCGGTCTGGTTTTAATGACATAACTGATATCAAATCCACCTAAAACCTACAAGGAACCTTTAAAGAAAAATGATAGAACGGTTTCCATCAGTTACTTTGATTTCTTTGTCATTCTGCCCAAATCCTGGCCTGGCCTGACCTGTGCCTACATTACCCACAATGCCACTCACGACACCAGAGATTTCGGTGTGTTATGCTGGTGGCTATTGCCGCCTTGAGCAGAACTCCTGCACAGTTCTGGTCCTCCTCCAGATGTTTTAACCCTTTCGCACAGATCCAACTGATGCTGACTGGAGTGCTCGCTGGAACATCTGTGGAGCTCGTGAAAGGTTCTCCAGAAAATCATTGACCCCCAGAGGATGAACACCCCCTCTCCTTTAAACACCTTCACATCAAACCGAGCCGGCCGAGGATAAAGCCCTTAAGCTCACGAGCCGCAGGCCAGAAGGTGCGTCCGGACGGAGGAGAGTGAATCCTTTCAGAGGTTTGCAGTGTAGACGGAACATATTTCAGTCGATCAAAGAGCTGATGGAGCTGAAGCCTTCTGCTGCATCGCGAGCAGGACGGCAGCTCCTCCGCCTTTCAACGCCCACGGTTACAAAAATGTTGGTGTGTATTGTCGTTGTGTGGCGAACCGCCCACCCTGTGGCAGATGGGGGTTTGGCCAGTCCACGCACGCACACACACACACACACACACACACACACGCATACATAGAAATACACACTTTCAACTGCTCGAAATGTAACTCTGGCTCTGTCACACACACACAAAACACAGAAACACACACACGCACACAAACAAATACCCGCTTTCATTTGTCCTGGGACCAATGTACACAACAACACAGACACACACTTTCTCTGTCAAAATCTGATGAACGCACACAAACCCACCCACACACACACACACACACACACACACAATCTTTCTTTTTCCACACTTCGCACACACATTCACACACACACACACACATTCTGCTCCATTGGGACGGTGCCCTGCTTCCACCCTTCGCCCACGCTCCTGCGGGCCGCCGAGGCTCTGGGGGGTTTTTGGTTTTGTGTTTGGTGGCTCGGGGTGTCAGCCGGGGGTCCGGCGGCTCGGCGGACCCCGCCACGCCGATTAATCATCTGTCATCTGCAGTTTTTGTTAATATGGATCTTTGTCTTCGTCCTCAAACGACGCCTCGGGTCGAGGCCGGCCGGCCGCCGCCCCCTTTGCCCCATTTTTATAAACCAGAAAACCCACAAAACTGAGCGATCGGCCTCTTTCTGGGGCTTCTATTCTCCCAGTGGAAGGATTCAACGGTGTCATCTGCTGCTAGAAAGAAGTGCTTGAGCTTAATATTGACACCTGACTTTTGTAGCATCAAAGACACTCGTGCTGTGACCAAACAATAGGTTACTTTTTTCTTTTTTTTTACCAAAAAGGACATTTTGAGATTTGTACCTAAATTGTGACACAGTTTTAAAGCTAACTGCTGCTGGCTGCTTTATGCTGCAATCATTGTTTAAATGCACATCTTGAAACTGTTGAAACCCTTTCCTTTGGTATTATTTTAAACTTTCCAGTTTTTCATTTATTAAGGGCCAGAAATGCAGGATCAAACCTGAACTTATAAATATTATAAATATTAATCTGCTCACTTCTTCGCTGAGTTCCAAGGTTCTTCAAATCAGCAAAAAGCAGTTATTCATAGTTTGGATACACAACGTACATCAAATACAATTCAATCCTTTTAGTCAACATCTGAGTGTTCTGACGGCGGGTGTTTCTGGGGGTTTTCTAAACGGTGGAATGGAAACGGAGTCGTTGTGGACGGACAAACAGCTGCTGGTTCATCCGGCAGCGCAAGTTGGAGTTTAGGTCAATAGTCAAATTATGCAATACTGGAAGTTAATATGTGACAACTGATCCGCCGAAGCCTGAAAGTACCTTTACATCAGTACATCTTTTTAAATAATACACTGTGTTCAACCTGTAAAGTGCCTGATTCTTTATGCCACCGAGTTGTGTTCAATCCGTCGCGTTGTGGAGTCCAGAGAGGGGAAACCGTTTGGATCACTCTGAAGCGCTCCTCTGTTGGGTTTCCTACGCGTCGCACACATTTCTCCTACTAGGGGGGATATCCTTGATCAACCTGCACATGATTTGTGGTTCTGGAGGTTTTGGAGATGAACCCTCTGAACAAGCCGTCAATAGAAGCGTTGCATATTCATGGGATGCGTATTGACTCTGTCGGATAATAGACAGACACGTCAATGGCCGGAGCTCTATCTCTGGGGCCCAGAATGAGTCTTCGGTTCCTCTCAGAGCTCGTCCACTAATATCAAATGAGGATGATTTGCTTTCCGAAGACTCCAAATCCCTTTTGTTGTTCATAAAGGCAAAGAGAATAAAGTCCTGTTGTGATGAGCCAGATGATGAAACTGGTTGATCCTCACACAGCAAACAGTTTAAACATCTGAGAACTAAGCGCTATTTTATCAAAAAAGGGCATGAAAACAAAGGAAAAATTGGCAAAATATAAACAGGCTGCAAACAGCATCATATTGGGGGACTGAAATTGACTACATTTTATTTTTAACCAGAAGGGTTCAAAATAAATTCATGCAATTTGAACAATATTACTATTCCTCACGAAATCTATCTCCAAATGATGTAGTTCAACCCTGAATCAAACTAGGGAAGCAACTAAACATTATGTTCTTTATATATTCATTTTTTCCTCGATTAATTAATAGATGTTTTGTCTTTTACAAAGTACAGCCTGATCCAAAGATGTGAAGTTTATTACCCAAAAAATCCTCACATTTAAAAAGTTAGAGCTGCAGGATGTTTGTTCAACCATCAAAATAGTGGTAATAGTAGAATCCAGAGGACCAACGAATCAATTCATCTAATCATCTATTCATTTAGATCCAAAAAATCCCGTTTGGATCCGTGTCCACCAGTTTTAATTCTTCTAACAAAAGGACGAAAGGAACCCAAAGTTTAGGCCTTTTGTTGACTTAGAAAACAAACTATAGCCGAACAGAAGTAGCATATTTAATAAAGTTTACTACCAGAGAAGAAAACCTTTTACAAATAACATTGACTACCACCAAACGTTGCACAATACGCCAGTATCTCACAGAGCTAAAGATGTTGATTTGACCTTTCGGTTTTCCACGTGTTTGAGCTCCTTTTTTAGACGTGTTTAGATCTTTTTATCTAAATCCTCACATCACACACAAACACATAAACAAAAAAGAGCGGAACACGTGGTAAAGTTCATCATCAGGAGACGCGGAATCCAAACGGTGGAAACAAGTGATGTTTCCTTCTTTGTCTCTTGTCCATCTCTGTGCGATTAGCACTAACAATTCATTTCATGAAGCTACTTATCATCAAGATACACAAAGTTACACTGATGAAGATCCATCTCCCAGCGTATGTGACAAAAGAGCAAACTCACTTTAAACAGATGAATCGTCCGGCGTCCGGCGGGCCTCCTCCTCGCTCTCCACAGAGGTGGAGCGACGGGTGGAGGAAGAGAAGGAGAAGGAGAGGAATGGCGACGGAGACGCTGCTTCAGATGAATGAAGCCCGACACAAAGTTTCCCCGCTCTGGATTTCTGACTCGCCCCCGGAAAGGGTCATCGTCACCCGGGGTCTGAGTGGGCCGCCAATGACAAAAAGACAGACAGCGTAAAGGGGGGGGGGGGCAGTACGATTGTTCCCACCTCACTTTGCTTCCACCCTCGCAGTTAAAATTGTTATGGTAATGAAGTGGATTTTTTGCTGGACTGCAGATTGTAACAGAGAGATGTTTCTTTGGCCGGAGGTGATGATGATGCTGATGCTGATGATGATGATGATGATGATGATGGTGTGAACAAACCCTCTACATACGAATGTAGAAGCAGTGGTGGAAGAGGTATTGAGGCACCACCATAAAAGTCCTGCCTTCAGGTCGAATTATGGAAGTATTATCGGTATCATGTACTGTAAGTATTCACAGTAAAGGTATCGAATCTGACCCGTAACCCTTTTCTTTAATGTACAACAATGCCTCTGTTTGAATGCAAAAAACTTTATTTTCTTAAGATGAACACATTAAGGAAGACTTAATTCTTTCCAAAACATATCTACTCTGAGGAATAATCCAAAGGATACTTCTTCATAATTAAATAATAATTGTGAGGTTTTTAGCCAAATATAAACACTTCATTTGACCTCCATCGTCAGCCAGGATGTGCAGTTCACTTCCCGCTCATTCACTGTGCGATGGAAATGATCGGTTACTGTTTTACTACCTAAAGTATTTGTGCTTCATAGTATGCATGATTTGTTGTGTCTGCATTCCACTGTGAGCTGTGGTGAGTTTATCTCGATGGCTTGTATGGAATATATCATTTAACTTCAATAATAAATCACTTTTATTTTACAAAAAAAACAAACTTTCTTCTGGTGGAAATTTAGCAGTGGAGTTTATTGAAATTCAGCAGAAATTTGAACCACGTTTGGTAAATCTGAAAGAGTAAAGCGAATGAACGCTTGCCTCCGTCCACTGCTGTCATGTGAACATCAGTGAAATGGTTGATGGAGATAAACGGGTGAAGATAATTCTCCAGTTTTCTGCAGAAGAAGAAAAAA